TGTGGGAAGAGTTTGGAAATGTTTGAAGAAGTCACCTGAAATAGTGGTGCTGGAACAGCTTAGGCTGTTCTGCATGGGAAATTCTGGTCAGAGCTCAGAAGACCAAAAGGCTGATAGAAAGCCTGCCAATAAAGACCAGGTTTGAGAGGCTTCTGCTGGGCAGAAGGACAGCATTGGTTGTTGGACTCCACATGATGTGTGTTATGGCTTGGCAGAAGGGTTGTCTGCATTCTGTTTATCCCCAGAGACTTTGCCTGAGATGAAAATTAAAGGCAGTGGACTAATTAATCTGGCAAAAGAAATGTCAAGGCAATCAAATGTTGAGTGTGGCATGGCTATTGTTGGGGGTTTTTATCCAGGTTTATGTTGAGAATCAAGAACAAAGAGCCTAACAAGGTGATTTAAAACATAAGTTTGGCCAGAAAGCTGTGAATGTAAAGATAGAGTTGGGATCTCAATTGCTGAGAAAGAATAGGAAAATAAGATAGATAGTTGGGGTCATCCCAGGAGGCAGCTGGTCCCCCATACTTTGCAGCCTCAGAACTGCGAAAGTGAAAGGCTTTGCTTAGAGGAAAAAGCTACAGAGCCCCATGTTCCAGAGTGGTGATGGAGGCCACAAGACGTCTCAGAATGGCGGTGGCCAGACCAGGTTTTAGAATGGTGGTGACATAGAGAAGCTGTTCCTCACAAACAGGTTTAGAGTGCTCAGCAATCCAGGCACTTGGCCACTGCAGCCAAGAGAGAAGAAAGTCTGGCTCCTGCTCCAGTTGGTAGCAGATCTCGGCAGCATCCACATGGTAGTGGTTTTAGGTGTATAGAAAATGCACACATTCTAAGATTAAAAAGTCTTGCACCCTATTTCAGAAAAAGATCTGAGAGATCAGGCAGTGTGCCTCTGACAGGGCAGTGTGTAAAGCTGTGAGTGTGAAGCCCAACGTGCAAACTCAGAAGTCTGGAAAAGCCAGGAGCATGGATCATCTAAGGAAAGCTACAAAAATTGAGCAGAATGGACCTAAGAGAGATGCCTTGGGAGCTAAAAAACATTGGAAGTGCCATGATAGGGGAGTCATTTAAGTCTTTTGGAGCTCACAACCAGGTTGCTTCAAATGCTGAGTGTGGAACTCCAGAATTTAATGTTTGCCTTGCTGGATTTTGGACTTCCTTTGGCCCCATTCCTTTGTATCCCCATGTTTGTACCTCTTGGAATAGTAATATTCATCTTGTGACTAATTGCCATTCTACGTTGGAAGCAATTAACTTTGTCTTCACTTGTACAGGGGCTTGAAGCTAAGAGTTTGCCATAGATCTCAGAGGAGACATGGGACTTGGACTTTTCAGCAGTGCTGAAACTGTTAGGACTTTGGCAACTCTTGGAGATGCACTAACTGTCTTTTGCATAAAAGATGTACATGAGTCTTTGGGGGATCAGAGGTGGAATATTATGGCTTGTGTCTAGGTGACCCCCTCATGCAGTCATAGAGTTAGCCAAATCTAGCATTTGTGATTGTTTTGTTGTCCAGTGCTGAGATTGGCAGTGTCAGTGCTGCACCTGCCCAGGGACAGAGCCAGCATACAATTTAAGCTAGAGAAGAAGGCATGTTTTTCCTTCCTTTAGCCCTTTCGCTGTTGCCATTTGCAGCTGCCGTGAATGGTTGCCCCTCAGCCATGCAATCCTGCCTTGGAGAGAGCTGAATACAGACTGAGATACCCCCAAAACTGTAAGCTAAATAAACCTTCCCTTCCCTAATTTTGGGTGTCAGGTATTTTATCTCAACAAGAAAGAAGTAACCAAGACAATAGTTATGGGAAGCCAAGGGGTTCCTAAATCCAGCTAAGATGGTGGATCACTGGAACAAAGGCCTTGACCCAGGGCCCAACCCAGATTTTATTAATTCATGAAGTGAGAAGTAGCTTGAGGATGAATGACTGTGAGAATGGCAGGAAATATGTGAGTACTGTGAACTGGGCTAGGTAGGAGGCCTGAAAGCACCTCTGCAATATGCAGAGAGAAGAATATGCAGAAAGACCAACTTATATAACACAACTGATGGACTGTCTGTTTTGGGGTCGGTGCTTCATCTCTGATGTGTAAACTTTTCTGCCCTGCGAAGTCATAGCCCCAAGGATCAATCCCAGGTAACAGCATGCAGTGATGGTTCTTCAGCCCACATTTTCGGGGAGTCATAGGGTGACTAATTGCCTAGCTTTAAAGACTATGCAGCAGCACCTCAGATAGTCTTATTTACATAGCTTAAAGCCAATTGAAGGGTAAAGAAATGGCCTAGCCTACTCTGTACATATATCACTACATGGAACTAGGGCCAGGTTTAGCCAAAATTGAGATAATTTCTCTTTATTCAAGGAGTCATCTGGGTGGTCCCTCATAGTCCACAGCACATTAAAGGGGTTCAACTGTATTAATCATTAGGCTCTGTGATGAATGTGATCATTAAGTCTATCTAAAATGTACCAGTAAACTCTAATGTAAAAAATCTTTAAGGAAATGCACAATGAGATACATACAGGGTTAGAATTGTTTAAAGGTGGAAAATTGAAAGCCCTGATGAGGATATCAACCAACAAGAACTCTTAACTGCTGGTGGGAAATTTAATGAGTGGTGCAATCACTTGGGAAGATAAGTTAGTGATTTCTTAGAAAGTTAAAAATGGGGGCTGGGGATTTAGCTCAGCGGCATAAGCGCCTGCCTTGTAAGCAGGCAGTTGTGAGTTCAATCCCTGGTACCAATAAAAAGGAAAAAGACTCCCCTCCCAAAAAAAGAAAAAGAAAGTTTAAAATGTGCTTATAAAATGACCCACAATTTTATTTCTGAGTATTTAGCAAAGAGGCATAAAAACATATCTATACAAAAACTTGTCATAATTGGTTCATTACATCTTTGCCTGAAATAGCCAAGTCTGGAAATATTCCAGATACCCATCAACAGAAAAATAGATCAATATGCTTTGGCTATCCATACAATGGAATTCTTTACAGCAATAAAATAAAAAGATACTGATTAAAATTATGCAAAGCAAAATGATTCAATGATCAAAGAATTCATATTGTATGGTTCTATTTATATAAAGTTCAAGAACTGACAGTAGTCATCAGTAGTGATCAAAATCAGACCAGTGGTCATCTGGAGCTAGGCGAGGAGGCGAGGGGAGGGGAGATTGGAAAGGGGCCTAAACAGTGGCCCTGTAGCCAGTGCCAAAGGCTCAGGTGAGAGTTGAGAAATTTGGTAAGTCAGTTATTGAATATAAGCATTATTAAAAATTAAACTTAAGTCAACAGTATTAAAACAAACATAACAAAAACTTCAATATTCTCTTCCCAGTCATTTGGCTATGCTTTACTATTCCCTCTGCTCTTGAAGTTATTTACAGCCACTGTATCTGTATGGTGGACACACTATTCACTGTACACTATTCACTATGCACTTCTCTTTCCAACTCCATGTCAGGTTCAATCACATTATTTTTTTAAATTTTATTTTGAAAGTAGTAAAAATGCTACAGCACAAGGCAGAACAAAGCCAGTTGAGACAATGCAGTGAAATTGGCACAGGATTTCACAGTAGGATACTGGGTAATAAGTACTATGGTATATCTCCTTAATTTCACAATAGTTGTCCAGTCAATTAGGTATATCAAAATCAAACCAAAAATAGAACATTATAAAACCAATTGAGAATAATCAATAGAGCAAAAGAAACATAACAAAACAAGACAGTGAAAACAATCTTTGCCTTCAATCAGAAGATAGAAAGAAATCCCTCATATTTGCTATACTGCACACGGTCATCCTCCCAAGAGATGCTGAGACATCTATCCCCAGGAGCTATGGGGGGGGTGGTGCTTGATTTTCAGCCCATATGGCAGTAGGCTCACAGGTAATGGTTTGCTCCAGGCCCACTCCGCAGGTGCTTACCAAGAGGGCAGGTGAATAAGCTGCCTGTGTCCCACCATGGGCGGATCTCGGGAGTTCTAGGTTCAATCATATTATGTCTTGAAATTGTCCAGTGTAGGAGTAGCGGAAATTGGTAAATACTATAAGTCAGATCTTGATTTATTATTCTTTATTGTTCAGATCTAAAGTAGTTAAAAATGTTTATCATGCCCACTAAACTTAAACATGAGTAAATTTTATAGTTGTTAAATTGTGACTAACTAACCAAAAAAACCAATAAAATATTCTTGTGCTATTAAAAATCATTTCCTAATTCAGCAAATGACAATGCAATGTCATTGATAAGCAAGTGATGTTCCAACATGTCCTGTTGTTTTTTTTTTCTTACCCCATAAATGGAAATAGTAGTCAACGTATATGTCAGAACTTCACTTAATTGCAACCATTGGCTTCCTATAGATAAAAGACTGTGGCAAAAATCAATGGCTATGCAGAATTTACAATCAAGAATCCCATTTGTTTTATTGTTATTTATAAATTATGTAAATTTTGTAAATTATATTTATATATTTAAATTATATTTGTAAATTATATAAAAATATATAATTTATAAATTATGTAAAAATATATAATTTATAAATTATGTAAATTATGTAAATAGTAAAATTTTTACTATTTTAATATGAGAAGTCATTAATATGTTAAATATACAAATGGTAAATATACAATATTTTCCCTAAGAGCCTGCTAGTAAATATTCACTGGATACAAGAGACATTTTGGGTGATGACCATGATTTTTTTTTTTTTTTTTTTTGGTGGCACTGTGGATGAAACCACTGCCAGGAGAGGAAACCAAAAAACCAGGATAGGAGGAAACATTCACAAATCTCTATGGTCTGCCCTAGTGAAGCTTCATAGTCATTGTTTGGGAAGCAGCCAGGCCAAATTGTTTTGGTCCATTAAAACTTTTCGCCTCTTCATCCACACAGTTCACAATCCCATAATCCCCTATCACATATATAATATAAACAAGATTTTTATGAGAAATGAAAGATCTTGTTTTTATTATCATCTAAAATATACTTGCAATTACTTCGTGGCCTTTGGCTAAGATCAAGTGTGTTGTCTGTTCTTATCAGTTTAAAATATACTTGCACATTGAAGGCTTTTTTTCCCTCACTACTGGAGGTACTGAGGATTGAACTCAAGATCTATTCATTATATTTTTATTTTTATTTTGTAATGCAGTCTCACTAAATTGCTAAATTGCCTGTGCTGGGTTTGAATTTGTTACCTTTCTGCCTCAGCCTTCTAGAGTGCTAGGATTACAAGCATGTACCTGTTTGGTGGCATGCTTATATAGAAAAGTCACTGTATGTAATAATTAAACAATAAGCAATCATAATATAAGTAAAAGGTTAAATGATATGTGAAAAGACTTATGAGTAGAAATAAGTCTCTTAATTAGAAAATAAAGTAAAAATCATTACACATTAAGAAGTTTCTAATTTTGCAAACATTTTGATACAAATGTTTTTTAACTACTGTTTCATAAAGTTTTTATGGAAAATCCATGAGTTTAGAAACATGCCATTCAAGTGATCTTATGCAGATCACATTGGCTTGTTAACATAAATTGTAATCCCTACAAATCCAGTGGTACTGCCTCTTAAAATTTAAATGTATAGCCTTGGGGCTGGGGATTTAGCTCAGCGGCAAAAGCCCCTGCCTTGCAAGCAGGCAGTCGTGAGTTCGATCCCTGGTACCGATAAAAACGAAAAAGACCAAAAAAAAAAAAAATGTATAGCCTTATGATATTCAAATTCCACAACTTACATTTATTTTGATTTCTTTAGAAATAAGTTCTAAATTTAGAACTATATAAAATGTATTTAACAAAGGCTGGTATTGGTCTAAATTTCATTGTATAGATAAAAGAAAATTACAAATTGGCACAAGAACACTTTTCACAAGTTTTATCTGTGCCCTCATTCACAATTAACACAACTGTGTCACCTAAGAGTATGTGCTTATGAATGTGTATACACATGTAAAAGCTTCTATTTCAAGATAAATGCTTGTTGCAAAAGAAAAATTATTTTCACCTATTATTTTTGTGAGTTAAAATCATACTCCAAGTTTTGTCTTAAGCGCCCTAACCCAAATGACTTGGAGTTCAGTATTTTTTTTAGTTCACTACCAATGATCAATCAATAGACATTTATGGAATAGTGACCCCATATTCTTTTTTTTTGGTACTGGGGATCAAACTCACAACCATGCACTTACAAGGCAGGAGCATAAGCATATGCTGCTGAGCTAAATCCCCAGCCAGCGACCACATATTCACAGCACCTTCCTGCAAAGACTGCCATTCATTGCTTTGTGTTTCTTTACCCACTCTGGGTAATCCCATTTCAGTTTCCATTATATTCTTGCTGACCAGCAGAGGAAGAGTGACACTGTCACTCTATTGCTATTAATAGGGACTGGTCAGGACTGTTTCGTTTAACACTTCTGCATTACCACTTAACCTTGGATTTTCACCCTCAGATGACTTGACCACCCAGAAAGTCTTTAAATTAATAGATTAATAAATTTCTTATTAGTGATGAATTTGGATGATTCTACAATGCTAGCTAATAATTGGCAATGCATTATTATTTAAGGAATAGGGGACACATTTCTCACGAATCATAGTATCTCAACACAAGCTCTGGAGGAAATAGACCTGAGTAAGTTTCAGGGAAAGTCACTGAGCTTTAGAAGTTAGCCTGCTCAGCCCCATCACAAGGAGAGGAGAGGAGAGAAGCGGACTCTCCACCTGAGATTTTGCTCTCCTTGTTGTCTAAAACTAGCTCTGGGCTGGGTGTTGTGGTGCACGCCTGTTATCCCAACATCCTGGGAGGCTAAGTAGGAGGACTGCATGTTCAAACCCAGCCTACGCAACTCAGCAATTTAGCAAGAACTTGTCTGAATTTTTTTTTAAAAAAGAAATAGGGTTGGGTGTGTAGTTCAGTGAGAAGGCCCTGAGCTCAGTCCCAAGTACTGAAAAAAAACCTTAATTCATTAGTTAATTAAAAATAAATTCTTAAAAATCAAGCCACCTCTAGTCACATTGCCCCATATGCTTCCTGAGCCAAAGAAGTCAGTTGGGCACTTGAGGATATTGTAGCCCAAGAACCTAGCCCATGACCACTGCACACCACTGTGCACCAGGGGAGCCTGTCTAGAGAAAGTCAGGAGGATACCTAGTCAAGGCATGGAGATGATACTTTAGGGTTATCTGGGGTTTAAGGAGTAGCAATAGGGCCTCACAGTACAGCAGAACTGTTTTATGCTCACACACACCCACTGGAAGACTCCGATTGGTTCGTGTATTTACTCATAGCCCACTGTGTCTCACAGAACAGGGTTATTTACTCACCACGTTCACCACTTTTGTTCTATTACATACAATCTTCTTCCACAGAGAGGAGTTTTACCCTCGCTGTGTGCTGGAGCCAGCTCCCACGGGCTTGAAAACTCAAATGCTAAATCTCCTGAAAATGTGCAATTATTTTTGAAATGTAGTCATTATTTAAATTATGTGAGCTTGCAGTTAAATAAACTGTATTAAAATACAAAGGTATAAATATTCTGAATGTGATTGTCAATTATTTCACTTTTTTTTAATTGTCATGTTTTTCCTTGAAGTTATTTAGGTCCAACAGTGAGAATACAATATAGCAATGGATATAGATAACCCAATCTGAACTCATCTGCATCTTCAGTGGCCTCATATGGATAGCCTGAAGTTGGCCACAGCAGAAGTATTTATACTATAGGAAGTAGCAAACACAACAAACCAGAGGTTTTTTTGTTTTATCTTGTTTGTTTCAAGAGGCATTGTTATACTTTTATCAGCCCACTGCTGGATATAGGCATACCTCTTATGAGACTGGAATGAGTTGAATAGTAACAGGTTGGTAAATAGCTGAAGACACTCTCAGAAAAGTGGATAGACTGCATTGATATTTGGATGCCTATTAGTCAGCTTTCCATCACTATAATGAAATACCTGAGACAATTAATGTATAAAGAGAAAAGGTTTATTTTGCCTCTTGGTCCTGGAAGTTCTAAAATCAAATGGTTCCATACTTTGGGCCTCTGGAATTGCAGCACATCATAGCAAGTACATATGGTGGAGCAAACTGCTTACCCCATGTTATGGACTAAAAACTGGTAGTCAAGTTAACTCCAGCTAAACTAAATCAGCATAGTGCTGAGTGTAGATGGCCAACCTGAGGAAAGTTGCTGGCATAAAAGGAGACATGGAGCAAAAGAGTATGATGTTGTGGGTTCTCCTGTGTTGTTGTTATTTGAAGCCATTGGTTCTCCTGGAGGAGCTTGTCATGCTGGATTTCCTGATATAAATTTGGCCATTCTCATCAGAGAAGCTCAGGACCTTGTAGCTGAGAATGGCTGTGGTTCACTTTAGGGGACTTTTGGTCCTTATTTTGAGTATCACTTCCTGTCTCTGGAGGGGAAGATGTGTGCTATTTAATCTCCAGGAGAAGCTGTCACACTGGCTTCCTGATATGAACTCAACTGTTCTCATTGCCAGAGGAGCTCAGGACATTGTAGTCGCTGAGGATGGCTGTGGTACTTTTCAGAGGATTCCTGGTCCCGATTTTGAGCATTGTTTCTTGGCTCCAGTGTACAACCCTCAACCTACTGACACAAATCCTTCACTCCACTGGTATAGACATTCTAGTTTCCACAGCTAACCTCTGGGGCTTCCCAATGCAGATCCATGAAATATACTTGCATGAGTCAATGTCATGGGCTCTTGGCCTCCAGTTGGTCTTGTGGGAGGCATTGCCATGGGCTCTAGGTCTTCATCTGGACTCATGCAGGAGGACATTGCTGTGGGATCCAGGCCCTTGGCTGGACTTCCTAGGTTTTTAGTGTTATGAACAGATTTCCTGTACTTTCTTATATTTAACTCTGGGTGATCATCATAAAATAATATTGTGAACTCTGTGTCCAATATGTAATTGTTCTCCTTACAACCTCTGACTACAACACCCCATCAGCCATCAGTTTTCCTATCATCTCTCCCCTGATTCTACTTTTTCACTTCTTCATCAGATAGTTTTCCAGGTATCTGGATCCTTGGTCTCAGAGAGTCTGTATTTTGCTGTCCATCTTATTGCCATTTTTTTTTCTCAAACCTCCTCTCATCCAGGAAGCAAAGGAAGAGGAAGAAATTGTGGTCCCTTTGAAAGTATGTCCCTAGTGACCTAAGGACCTTCCAGAAGGTCTCATCTCCTGAAGGTCCACCGCATCTCCCAATAGCACTACCTGGGAACCACGCTTCATTTAACTCATGGAACTTAGGGGGCCAACAGCCATATTCAGACCACAGCAGAGGTAGAAAGAGATGGCACAAGGTGTGAGCCAGGCCACATCGAGACTTTTGGAGGACTCAAAGGATCAAAGATAATACAGACTGAAAATGATGACAAGAAGCTCTTTCTCCTCCCCATCCTACCCTAGAAACAACAAGTAGGAAATTCTTCAGAGAAAAAAATCACTGTGGCTGAGAAAAAAGTTGCCCCAATCCTATCCCTCACCCCCAGCAAAAGCCCCAACCTCTCTGGTCTGTCTTTACCTGGAGGAAGCACATTGAGAAGAAGTATGGGTGAGTAACGATAGGTGCTGAAGAGCAGAAGCCCCACCAGAGGAGGAAGGCCAGGCCCAGTGTCTTCTTCTGATTCCATCCTAGCCCCATCCCACCCCCATTCCATCTCCAGTCAGTGCTTTGAGAAAGGCCTGAGTGAGTTTTTACGGCCTCCTAGGACTACCATAATACTGTACCAGCCACTAAGGGTGGAGAGGCTTAAACCACAGACTTATTTTCTCCTGCTCTGGAAGTGGCAAGTCTGAAACTAAGGTGTTTGAAGAGTTGACTTCTTCTTAGCTTGAGATGGCAATCTCTCTCTCTCTCTGGTAGGACTAGGGATTAAACTCAGGGAGCACTGAGCAACAACCCTATCTCTTTTTATTAATTTAATTTATTTTGAAACACAGTCTCACTAAATTCTCTAAGCTGATCTTTAATTTCAGATTCTCCTGCCTCTGCTTACAGCATAACTGGGATTACAAGTATCTCAGTTACTTCCTTATTCTGGGACAAAATATACGATATCCACATGTTGAAGTAGAAAAGTTTTATTTTAGCTCACAGTATGTAGAAGTTTCAGTCTGTAGTCAGCTGGCTCCAAGGCACGATGACATGGCACAGGGTATGGCAGAGGAGAAACAGCCCATGGCAAGACGGGCAGGAAGCAGCAAGCAGGTAGCCTTCCTTTCCCTTTTATTCTAGCAAGGCTAAAAGTCTATTGGATGGTGCTATCCACACCCAGGGTGGGGCTTCCCATTATCCACTCCCAGAACTATGCTAAACCAATTAGTGGACTAATTTAGTTATCACACAGCCTTAATCTCTCTATTCGCACACCCTATATCCAGCTACCTCCTAAAGGCTATACCTATGAGCACATGATGCCCCACCTTTTTAATGCTATGAGCTCCTGACAGGGGTCATCTAGATTCAAGCCATATTAGTAGGCATGGATCACCATGCCATGTTCAATAAATTATTTCTTGAGTGAATTAGTGAGTGAACATTTTGCTAGAAAAAGAAAAAAGCATTTCTTCTTGGAGCTTTTTTAAAGGACAGATAACAGTCCTCCTGGTTTTATTTAAGGGCACTGGTTCTTTTAGTTGCTGATGAATATGGGCTAGGACCAAACTCCACCTTGGTCCCTACCATACAGGATCAACTTTCCCCAAATCAGAAGCTCTCCAAAGACCCAAGGAGGTACATGCAACCTGAAAAAAAGGGGCAAAGGGCACTAGAGCCGAACTATCGAGAAAAAATGCAAAGTCATTCTTCATTTTAAAATTCTATTTTTTCATATTTTCATTCTTTGGCTTATTGTGACCTTTACACTAAAATCTAATCACAAGAGGGAAAAGAGCTCTTCAGTGAACAGAGACATGTTCTTCAGGTCCAAATTGCAAATAGAAAGTTGTCCATATGATGTGATTTTAGAACTTGGAGAAAACCGTGAGTCCAGTTCTAAGGGTCCATCCCCAGAGACAGGGTGAGTGCCCGAAAATCCCAACACACTTCATCTTATCATGCTTCACAGATACTGTTGTGTTTCACAAATTGAGACCTTTTGTGTAACAGCCTTGTATCCAGAAAGACCACCATCGCTTTTCCCACAGTTTAGATGGCATTTTTTTTAGCAATATAGTATTTTAATTAAGTTATATATGCTGGTGTTTCTGACATAATGTTACTGAACCCTTAATATTGACTGCAGTATGGTCAAAACATAACTTTTTGTGCCTTAGAAATCAAACAATTTGTGAAATCAGTTCTATGGCCATATTTGCTTTCTTGCAGCAGTCAGCACCTCTAAGGCCACCTATAGATTTAATGAAACATAGGTCAGTGAGTATCCTAGCCTTTTGTCATCATTTATTATTTACTGACATATAATATCTGACGGGGAATAAGGTGCATTTGTGCATGTTCAACATTTATGTAGCAAACGCTATGAAAGCACAGTGGCCTGAGAAGGTTTTAGACTGGGTTCTGCTTGTTCATTTTCTCTCCACAAGAAGAGAGTCATGGCAGGTCACTTGTCACCCCTCTCCCTCCTCACCAAAATCTCTGCCCCCCCAGCAAATGGCCATGAAAGCTTGGACTCTGGTGCTTCTAAAGTCAAAGACGCTGTGGCTGGTTAAGAAGAGACATCTTTTCTGAATGTTTCCTGTTTGACCCCGTTGGTATGATTAGTGTCTAGATGCCACCCCTCCCAAGCCTCGTGTGGTCATAGGTGGGGCTTTTCAGAAGTATCTAGGTCTAGGGTGTGTGATTACTAAATTAACCCACTGATTGATGTTCTGGAGTAGATAACGGGAAGGTCCACCCTGGATGTGAGTGCTACCTGCCCTAAAGACACAAGCCTGGAAGGGGATGGAGGGAGGACTGCTGCAGTTCCTCTTCACTTGCTGCTTCTTCATTCCTTTGTTGCTTGTTCCTTCTGCCAGCCATGGCACCCTCCCTTGGAGCAGAAACTATGAACTATGAACTATGAACTATGAACTGAAATCTCTACAAACTGACCTAATTAAACATTTCCTCTTTTGACTTTGGTTGTCAGGCATTTTGACAGCAGGGAGGAAAGTAACCAAGATGCCCCTTTACTGCAAGGTATAGATAACAGCTTGTCTGGGGTCAGTATGAAGAGTGGGAAGGATTTTCTTGTACAAGTGTTTTAAAACTTGGCCAATTGCTTTGAGTTCAAATAAAGAATTGGGAGTGTTTTGGAGGAAGATAAACATTTTTTTCCAGCAAAAGAGCACAGGAAGGAATAATCATAGTATAACTTCACCATGATAATAACTCTGTACCCCGATGATTCCAACACCATGCCAAGCTTCAACAGTGAACCCCAAAAGAATGTTAAAGAAAACCATTCTATTTACTGCAATTGTGTGTAAAATAATACTGATTGGAGCAAAGGAGTATCAATATCTATTACTTAGAAACAGATGAGAAGTAGAATCAGAAGTTGCTTGAACACAATAAGACACAATCACATGCCATTGTTTTGTGTGTCCAGATGTTTTTTTAAAGTGGTCCAAACTCTCCTTTTGCTTCTTACATCTTGTCATTGTCATTGTCAATGAGGTCACTAGTGACTGTCCATGATATAACAACTGATCAGCTACAGGCCATGGCTAATAAATTGTTAGAAAACCACTGACTAAGATATAACCTTTAAGTATGTAAGGTGACAATGTGCAATTCAACATGTGGCACACACAGTGCTGAGCTCCTGCTCACCACCAAACTGGTTGTGGCTTTCTTGGAATGAATCTGGGCGTATGGTGGCATGATGCAGCATGAATTTCCAGCAACATAGATGCACAAGGGAGATTAAAGCTTCGTCAGTGGGGACATACTGCATGACAAAAAACAACAACTATGACATGTTCTGCTTTGTGTTATGAGAAAAGCAATCCCTTTGGTAGAGTGTGGGCTCCCTCTGCTGCTGGCAGGAGACTCCAGGCACTTGGCTTCTGTGGACTCTGGATTAGAGAAGAGGAACGTTTTGGGGAAGGGACAAGTGATGCTGACAGAAACAGAGGGACCAGCTTGTTCTGCAGGCACTGGCCCTGTGGGACTATTGGGCGAGAAGCAGCAAGAAGTGAAAGTAATGGAAAAGAATCCCGGAGGTGTAATGTGTGGACTGTAAGGCATCACGCAGGCCATGCTGAAAGGCAACCTGTCCAGAGCAGGCCTTCCTCGGCCCTGGTTTCAAAGAGTAGGGTAATGTTTGTCCTTTCTTTTCCTTCCCTCTTTCTTCCCTTTCCTCCCTTTCTTCTCCCTTTTCTTGTCTTTTATACAACCGCTGTGAAAGCTCCAGAACTGTGCAAACCATTTTGCTAGTTTTCTGGGTTCTGCCCTGACCAGAACTCCACCCCAAGTGGTGCCAAACAGGCTGCATCCCTCAGGAAGTCTCACCTTCCCTGTATCGGCAGACAACATCTCTCAATCAGTCTGTTCTCACCCACCCAGGTTCTCACCACCAGTTGACCTTGGACAGCTCTTTGCAACAAAAGGACATTTTGAGGTAGCTATTCCGAAAGCAAAAAAAGTTGATGCCACAATTCTGTTCTGCCCATTTGGCCAAACCAAAAAAAATCAATCCTTAATTCCAGTTGTTTCTATTCCCAAGATATAAGGGAGAAATAATCAACTCCATTCTCTAGAAATAGGCCATAGGAGTGCTGAGGGTCAGGGATGCAGATGAGACACCATACTTCCAAAATGGGACTGAACCCAGGGCTTTCACATGAGCTACATCCCAGCCCTTCTTCTATTTTTAATCTTGAAACAGGGTCCCTCTAAATCACTAAATTTTCCAGGCTAGGCTTGAACTTCTGATCCGTCCACCTCAGAGTCCCAGAGGGCCGAGATTATAAGCATGCGCTACTATGTCCCGTTCAGACACCACAGTCTTTGAAACTAGGATCACACTTGCTCCGGTTACAGAGAATCATCCTAAGTAAAACATCTATCGTTTTCTGTGATAAATCTGTTCTTTTCATGATCAGTAACTCAAACTCTCCGATTTCTCTTTTACATGCTAATGATCATAGTTTCAGTCAAACAACTGTGTGTGACTTCCTGGTGATGCCTGCACTATTTCACTGGGTGTTCTTTCTGATGCTGGGTGAGAAGAGAATCAAGTAATTGCCAGTCCTCTGGTTGGTAGACAAGTATGCTGGTATATTTCTGTGCAGGTTGCACAGAAAAATGTTTTATCACATTTCTCATGGTGGACTTTGCAATGCGTTTTTATTTTACTTTTACTCTCAACCCTCACAGCGTTTCTTCATTTGCTCATTCAACTAGGAACCCACCATGTTCATCAAGATGAGAGAGGAAAGTGGTGGGGCTAAATCAGGGGCTGGAGGAGGAGGTGAGGAGGGGACAGATTCTGGAGAGAGTTGGTGAGAGACTCAAGTGAGTTGTGAGCGGAGGCAAAAAGAACAGTCAAGGTGACTTCAGGATCTTTGGTGTGTGGCTACAGGATACCTATATTCTGACCTGGTTGCAAAGTGGTATCTTTTACTGAGATGGTGAACAACAGAGGGAAAGTTGTGGTCAAGACTGTGTGGGCATGTTGCGTTTCAGATGCCTGCTAGACCTCAAGGAGAGGCTGGGTAGACAGGGAGAGGTTGAGTTCCAAGGAAGAAAGGGGCTGGAGATTGGTCCTGAGATGCATCAGTGCATGGATGCACTGGGGGAAGTTGCTGGAGAGGAAGGGTAAAAAGCCTGGTGCAAAATCCTGGGGCCATCCCACCGATTGTGTCAGGCAGTACAGCCAGATGGATCCAAAAAAATAGAAGCTGCTTCTGTTAAAACAAAACAAAACAAAACAAAACAAAAAAACAGAAGATAAGTGACCAAGTGTTTTGAAGCAGAAAGGAAAGATCAAAAATCTCTGGTTACAGGTAAGAATGATCATTTATCTTAAAGCAGCTTTGGAAATCCAAAGTGAAGTACAGGAAACAACAAAAAATAGAAGTAAGAAGATGGAGACAATCTGTTTAACTAATCTTTTCAGTTTTACTAAAAAGGAGGGCAGAAAAACCAGGCAGTGATATGAGGGATTTATAGCATCAAGACATGTTCTCATTTTCGTGTGCATTAATGGAGCATATATTCTTAAACTTTTGTGAGTAGTATACTCTAAAATAACCACACGAGTATATCACAGTAAACACATAAAGCAATAGCATGGGTATCATCACTATCAAGGACTATACATTGCACAGAACTATATGTACTATAATATTATGCCATTTCCCAAACAATTTTGTTAATATCAAATATGTGAGTAGTGTGTGGCACTATGACATTACAACAGCTACGATGTCACTAGGCAATAGGAATCATGCAACTCCACAATAATCTTGAGGGACCACCACAATGTATGTGATCTGTTGTTGACCTATCATTGTAAAGGGTATGACCAGATTTTAAAGTATTATTTGCTCTGGCTACCATAACAAATTACCATACACTTGATGACTTAAATAATAGAATTTATTTTCTCATAATTCTAGAGGCTCAAAGTTCAAGAGCAAGGTATTTGTAGGTTTCTTCAGAAGCTCTGCCCTTGGCTTGTGGTTGGCTTTCTCATGAGGTCCTCTCTATGTGACTGGAAGTCTCTTCATCTCTTTGTGAATCCAAATCATGTTGGATTAGTGCCATAATCTTTTAAATATATCAAGCATTAACTGCATCTTTTCTTTTCTAGTACTGGGGATTGAAAGCCTTCTTTCTGAGGTATCTCCTCAGCTCAATTTTAGTTTTTACTTTGAAACAATTTTTCACTAAGTCTTCAAGATGCCCAGGCTGGGTTTGAATTCACAAACTTCGTGACTTGGCTTCCCAGAAGTACTGGGATTACAAGCTTGTGTTACCACACACAGCTTTACCTCTTTAAACCCGCTATCTCCAAATATAGTCATGTTAGAGATCAGAATTTCAATATACAATTTTTAGGGAGATGGTTCAGTCAAGGGTACTTAGCTCTTTTTTTTGTTTTGAGACAGAGTCTCATCATGTAGTCAGATTGGCCTACGTAACCCAGACTGGTCTTGAACTCATGGAAATCCCCCTCCCTCAGTCTCCTGAGTACTGGGATTACAGGCATGCACCACCATGCCCAGTTTAGTATCTCTTGTAAGTGGAATCATGTCATCTTTGTACTTCTGTGACTGGTTTGCTTCACTAAGTTTGTGTCTGAGTTTTACCCAAGTTACAACATATGTCAGAACCACATCCTTTTTAAGGTTAAATAGGTTCACTGTATATACATGCCACATTTTGTTTTCCAGGTTATTCACAAATGTTATTTCCTTCTTTTAGATATTGTCAATAATGCTATTACTAATATACAAGTGACTCTGCAAGACTACTTTCAGTCACTTGGGACTTGTATCACTAAGTGAAAGTACAGGGTCTATAGTGACCCTATCGGTTAGTGTGTGTCTTAGTTACTTTTCTCACTGCTGAGACAAAAATATCCAAAATACCCAAAGTTAAAGAAGGAAAGATTTACTTAGATCATAGTTTGTAGAGGTTTCACTCTGTAATCAGCTGGCTCCAAGGCAGGGTGGCATGGCAGGCAGGCATCACAGAGGAGAAACAGCTCCTGGTGGGCAGAAGGTACCAAAGCAAGCAAGGGGGGACCAGAGCTCTTTCTATCACTTATGTCTCATCCAGGCTACTTAGGGTGGGGAGCATTCACACCCCTAATGCTAGCGCCCTTGATCCTGGCATTGTACCATTAATCAATCCAGGGTCCCACACTCTAGATCCAGGCACTTTAAAATAGCCCCACCTGTAACTGCATGAGGCTTTGAGGGGACATCTGGACACAAACTTAAACAGTGCATTTTGATTTCTCTAATGCATCAGTACTATTTTTCAGAGCAGCTATGCCATGGTACCCTCCCAACAGTGGTGGGGTCCAGTTTGTCCATTCTCACCAATACTTTTTACTTTCTGCAGCTTTGTCAGATTTTGGTTTTTCTGATAGCAGCCATCCTAAAGGGTATGAGTTGATATTTCATTGTTGTTTTGATTGAACATTTCTCTAACGAGCAGCAGATATTAAGCATCTTTTCACGTGCTTGTTGGCTCTTTGTATATTTTAGAGAACTATATAGTCAAGTTCTTTGTCCAGTTTTGAATCAGATTTGTTCTTGTTGAATGGTAGAGGTTTGCATATATTGTAACTATCAGTCCCTTTTCAGATGTATTATTTCCAAATAAATTTTCCCTTGCCGCAGGTGGCCTTTTTATTCTGTTGATTGTGTCCTTTGATACACAGAAGTTTTTTAGTTTAATGAAGTCCAATTTATCTATTTTTGATGCTTGTGATGTCAGTGTTATATCTAGGAAATCCTTGCCAAGTCCATGTCATGAAACTTTTCCTCTAAGAGTTTTATAAATTTTTGCTCTTATATTTAGATCTGTTTTTCCCATTTTTTATTAGTACATGTTAGTAGGACATGTTTACATTCCTTGCGGGGAATTGGTACATGACTTATTGTGAGTTAATATTTATATATGGTATAATGTTAGAATGTTTTTTATTGGTACTTGGTTGCTGTTGTTAAAGAAATAGCAGATAGCAGAATATGGTGACACATGCCTAAAATTCTAGCACTGTGGGAAGCTGAGGCAAGAGGACACCAGTTCAAGCTCAGTCTGGGCAATTTAGCAATTTAACAAGACCCTGTTTCAAAAATACAAAAAGACTGGAGATGCAGCTCATTGCAAAGGCTTCAGATTCATTCCCCAATACAAAAAAAAGAAGGAGGGGAGAAGGATATTATAGCATATCATTGGGCTGATAGGATTAACCTAGCAGAGGAAAACGCTGACATGCAGACGGAGGGTAACTGTAGAGCAAAGCCCCTGAGTAAGTGAGAAAGCCTCCACCAAGCTTTAGGCAGGCTCTTCTGAGCATTCTTTCTGACTAGGTCTCAACCTTGATCCAGTCCTATCTTTGGCCTGCCCCGCACATTCTTAACAAGGAATCCGACTAAGTGGTTCTCTACTCTTGATATCCAATCAAGTGTTTCATCCCCATCCTTAATGGCTAAGCGTTTATCTTGCTAAAAATGTTGGAATTTTGTTAGGCCAGTTTATCAAGAATTGTCCTAGAAAATACCTTGCAGCAGAAAATGCCCTCCAGCAGTCTGTCAGTTGCCCAGGTGACAGTTTTTGTAGTTTCAATTGCTTCTGTCTTCTAGAAAAGGGTGGTCACTATGATGCACACTGTAGAAATCAATAAAAGACAGCCAAATACTCTGCCTCTGTGCTTTGTCTTTTAACCCCATAAAAATGTTCCTCCCTGAGCCTTATTTTGGAAATAATCCCAATCAGTGCCCATCAATGTAAATAAGTCTGCCTCCAAGTCCTGATGTCACTTTTGTGTGTCTGTTATTACAGTCTCTAAAGAAATAAAAATGAAAACGAAACATTCCAAAATGAATAGGACGCAGTGAAAGCAGTGCCAGGAGACGGTTAGAAGTGTAGATATTTATACTAAGAAAGAAAAAGATTTCAAACCAACAGCTTACCATAACACCTTTAAAAACCTGGGGGAAAAATTGGGCATGATGGTTACTTGCCCATAATCCCAGCATTCTGGGAGGCTGAGGCAGGAGGATTACAAATTCAAGTCCAGCCTGGGCAACTTAATGGTTTAGCAAGATTATCTTGAAAGAAAGAAAGAAAGAAAGAAAGTTGAGAAAAGGACAAAATAAATCCAAAACTAGAAGACAGGATTATAGCAAAGATAAAGTAGAAAAACAATTTTAAAGGTCAACAAAACAAATACTTTTTTTTTAAGGTCACAAAAAGTGACAAACTTACCCAGACTGACTGAAGCAGAGGCTTGGGTGTGCAGTTCAGTGGTAAAGTATTTGCATAGTATGTGTACAAATCCAAGGCACTGAAGAAGAGAGACACGGAGAGAAGCAAAGGGAGCACAAATAAAAACAAATGAAAAAGTAAGCATTATGACCAATTTTACAAAAATAAAGACTATAAGAGAGTTGTATGAACAACCGTGCACAACCAACTGAATAACTTAATGAATGGACAATCCCTAGAGACACACAAACTGCTAGGACTAACTCACGAAGAATGAGAAAAGCTGAACAGATTGATAACCAGTGAGGAAACTGGATCACTATTCAAAAAACTTCCAATAAAGAAAAGCCCAGGACAGATGGTTCACTGCTGAAAGCTATCAAACATGTAAAGAATGAACATTGATCCGTCTCAAACACTTTCCGTTTCATTCTATGAAGTCAGCACTCCCTCAATCCAAAAAAAGAAAAAAACAGACAAAACTACTCTCAGGGTTTGGATATGAAATGCCACCGGAAAGCTCATGTGTTGAGGGCACGGTCCCCAGTGCAGCAGTGTTCAGAGATGGGGATTTTGGCAGGTGATGGGATCATGAAGGATCTGACCTCATTAGAAGGATCTGTCTTCATCATATATTAAGGGGCTATTAAAAGATGACAGGAACTCAGGAGGTAGGTGCTAGCTGGAGGAAGTAGGTCACTGAGAGTATATCCTTGAAAGGTTCAAAACAAAACAAAAGAGGCTCCTTTGCTAGACATGATGGCACAGGCCTGTGATCTCAGCTACTCAAGAGACTAAGATAGTATTTACCAACAATATATAATATGAAAAGAAGATTAAGAAGTTAACTTTACTTGCCATAACATAAATAAGAATAAAATATTTAGGAATCAGCTTAACCAAAAAAGTGAATGACTCATACAATGAAAACCGTAATACACTGCTGAAAAACATTAACGAAGTCAATAAATAAATGGGAAGAAACCCCATGTTAATGTACTGAATATTAAGATGTTGATACTGCCCAAAGTGATCTATGGATTTAACGCAATCCTTATCAAAATTCCAATGATTTATTTAAAAAAATTTAAAAACTTATTTTCCAATTCGTATGCAATCTCAAGGGACCCTGAATAGCAAAAAATATTCTTGAAAAATAGCAACAAATTTGGAGGATTCACAATTCTGATTTCGAAAATTTACAACAAATCTAACAGTAATAAAAAGCTGCCAATGGACACTAAGTCTGCTTCATCTTTTGACTACTGTGAATAATGTTCATAGACAAAAGAATGGAATAGGATAGGATAGGATAGGATAGGATAGGATAGGATAGGATAGGATAGGATAGAAAGCCAGCAAATAAACTGTGATATATATAAACAAATTCTGACAAGGGTGTTGTAACCATTCAATGGGGGAAAATATACATCCTCTAAGGAGAAGGTGCCTGTACCTGCCTCGACCTCAAAGACTGTTTTAACTTGGCTATTTAACTCGCCAGGAACCTTCCCCGGGTCCCTTCAACTTTCCCCTCCCTTCACTCGCATTAATTTATTTGAATTATACAATTTATGACGTTGGTTTTTTGGGTCACAGCGGTCATGGAGGCTTATGCCTGTAATTCCAGCGTTCTGGGAAGCTGAGGCAGGAGGATTGTAAATCTGAGCCCACCCCTGGTGATTTAGGGACTTAAAGAGACTCTGTTTCAACGATTCTTAAAAATAATAATTTTAAAGGGATAGGAGTGGGGATGCATGTAGCTCCGTGAAAAGATGTGGGTTCAAGCCCCCATACTGCAATTAATCAGCATAATAAGAACGGAAAGGGTTGTGCAATCATCACCATAATCATCACTCAGGCTTTCTGGGTCCCTGGCCCTTGGTCTATAAATGGTTATACCATTTGCTTGGCATCAACAAACTACACCCAGAATCACTATCCTTGCTGATGTCACTTATCTAGATATTTATCTTTTCCAAGCAGCAGTCAGGTTCTGTCACAGCTGCCAAGTCAGGGGCCGACCCAACTGGAAGTGGATCCCTAAAGATAGCGTTCCATGTGTGTCCCAGCCCCGCCCCAGAGTGCGATCGGGGGATCGGGACTCTCCCCAGCTCCCTGGCAGTGGCAGGGGTCGCGGATCCGCGCTGGATTAGTGAGGCCTGAGTGCTGCGAGCGCCTGCGCAGTGAGCCGCCCAGTGGAGGCTGCGTGAGGTGGTTCCGTGTGGGCCGGGCGGTGGCCACGGCTGCTACCCCGCGACAGTCTCACTATGGCGGACGAGGAGTTGGAGGCGCTGAGGAAGCAGAGGCTGGCCGAACTGCAGGCGAAACACGGGGTGAGCTGGCGGTTGCCTCCTTCGCCCAGCCTGGAGGCCCTGGCCCCTGGCGGAGGCTCGCGGTGTCTGCTCCACACGCGAAGGACTTCTCCGCGGCCTCCTGGCCTGAGGTCCGAGCCTTTTGCTTCGCGTGCGGTTCGCGGGGGCGCCTGGCATTTACGGGGCCCACGCTGGGTCAGGGGTTCATCTGGCGGCTGGAGTGTAGAGTTAAGGGTTTCTGACCCCAGTAGGCAGCGTTCATTTTAGGGTCTGCTGACACGGTGGGTACCTGGGTACCTGCGCCCCGACGGAGTTTACAGTGGGAATTGGCGCGGGGCTGGGAGTGCGGGGTCCAGAATGTAAAAGCAGAGTGCGGGGGTAACGCCTGTAGGAGAGCGACGTGAGCAGCCCCGAAGGAATCGTCATTCGCAAATTGGGCGCGTTTTATTTTTCCAAAAGTTATTGTGGCCCATAAACACAGTTTCCGAGCACAGGCATTTTCCTTCCAGTGTTGTTTGCTTGCTTGCTTGCTTGCTTATTTGCTTGCTGTACAGGAATTGAACCCAGGGCCTTGAGCATGCTAAGCAAGTGCTCAACCACCAAACTACACCCTCAGCCCCCAACATTAGTTCATATTGCAAGACTTTCTAGGAGGTTGTGACTTTAGGAAATCACCAAAACATTTTACGTGTGGGTTAGGAGTGTGGCTGATAGAACGCTTGTCTAGAGTACAGGAGGCTCAAGGTTTGATCTCCAGCACCACCAAACAACAAGGGACAAATTAACAGCAGCTAGGCATGGTGGTACAGGCCTGTGATCCCAGCATTCTAGGAGGCTGAGGCAGGAGGATCTCAAAGTTGAACCCAGTGCCTGAGCGACTTAATAAGACGCTCTCTCAAAATTCAGAGGGCTAGGAATGTGGCTCAGTAGGAACACCTAGAGTTCAATGCCTAATACAAAAAAGAAGGAAAGGAAAACCATCTCACTGACCTTTGTGAACCGCAGGTTTTAATTAGTAGATAAGCCCTTTACCAATTTAAGAACATACTAGAAAATACAGTCCTGTTTTTTGTCCTTAGTTACACAGTATTTAATTTTTTTTTTTTTTTTTTTTCAGGATCCGAACGATGCAGCACAACAGGAAGCAAAGCACAGGTACGAGCCAGGAATCTGAATCTTTTGAAGGGCAGTTTCACCAATTGAATTTTTTTCTCTCTTTAGGACTGTTAATAGGTGTGTGAATCTTGAAGGTTTTCCTGGCATGGTGATCTTCCTTTGAATTGTCATCAGGGTATCTTTGGTTTTTTTGTTAATTAAATACATGTGTGGAGTCCCATTTACCTTCTTAAATTGCAATTATTAGTATTTGTTTCTGTCTGTAACTGATTGCCTTACCACTGTAAGAGTTACATGGGTGTGGTGCCTAACAGCAAGTGTCCAATAGATACTTACACTTTTTTTTCTTTTATCCCATAACATAAATGTAGAGACAGCCCACACCCAGTGGCAGGTTTACTAAATGAGTATTTGATTATTGTATCATACCATCTTTTTTTAAATTGTAGTAAAAAAAAATTCACTGTCACAGCTGGGTTTAACTGTATAGTTAGTTCTGTAGTGTGCTCTCTGTTCATGTCATAAGCTACATTTATTCACCAACTCTCCATTTCCCCTTCCCCTGTCTTTTAACGCCATTCATTCAGTTGAGTACCTGCACTGGGTGAGGTATTGTACTGGGTCTGCAGAGCAGGTGCAGGAGGAGAATGATGTGAGCCTCTGGAGTAGTGCTACAAAGACAGTAAAGCTACTAGAGTTTCATTGATTCTAAGAAGTGTGTTTTCTTACAATTTCAAGTCAGAAATCGGAATGCATTTATAATTGATTGGTCTTGTCCTGTATCTTTCCAGAGAAGGCTTGCTTTTGCCTGTGCCATCTCTTGAGCAAATTTTGAATCTGAAAGCTTTTAAAATTAAGTTCTTTGCTTGAGATTTTTTTCCTGCCTCCTCCCAGGTATTGTGAATTAAATCAGCAAGGCTACAAAACTAAATTAGCTTTAAGTCCAAAGTCTCAGAAACTTCTTTTTTTCTTCTAGACACAGGCATGCCTCCCAGCTGTTCTTTATTTCATTTCCCTTGTGCTGAGGATGTTTCTCTTTTGATATCCCAGCTTTGACTAGGGTCTCTTCATAGACCTCTCGTCTACAGGTGGTTTTTCTTCTTTTTCGTTCATTCTCAAGAGATACATAAAACTGTGGGGCATTTTAGATTTAGTTAAATATTTGCAAGTCTTGTGTGCATGCCTGTAATCCTAGCACTCGGGTGGCTGAGGCAGGAGGATCACTGTGACTTTGATGTCAGTCTGTCAGTGAGTTCAAGGCCAGTCTGAACTGCATGGTAAGACCTGGTCTTAAAAGAAGAAAAGAAATAAAGCAGCCATTCAGTAGATCATGACAGAGCCAAAATACTACGATTTTATGAGGAAATGGCCTTTAGTTCCATGTTTAATTCCATGAGCCCGAGCTCTTAAGCTTGGATGAATAATGGACATAACACACCTCTGTACTCCAGTTCAACTCAAGCATCTTTGCTGCTGCTTTGTGTTACTAGATTATTAACAAAAGGGCTTCATTTGAAAAAAATTAAAAATCTACTTTAAAAAAGTTTGAAACCACTACTGTGAACATGGACTAGTTTTCCACTTGCATAAGTAGGACAGATGCAGAATTAGACTTTAATTCTCCTTCCTCACCCAAAAAAGTTCAACTGAATCTGTAAAACATTGAATCTGGCTCTAGCAGGGCAACTGTCACCTTTGTCTGTTTAATGAACCCCCCTGAATCTTGGGTTCACCGCTAAGAAAATTACACAGATGAACTGAATTGCTTGGTCCTTCAGATTGCTTGAAGTCCCACTACAAATTTCTGGCATGTATCACACAAGGCACTTAATAAATGTTGGTAATGGTGGTTAAACTAAATCTCCAGTGTAATTATAGAATAAGAGGTTTCCTGCCAATCTGGTAGGTTTTCATCTATATAATATAAACCTAGCTCTTGGGAGGCAAAAGCATCTCTTAAGAAATATATTGAATGAGTTACATTTTTTATGTGTTCAGTAGACATTTGACAGTTTAGACCTAATTTTGCTCTGCCTATGTTTTTGTTGTAGGGAAGCAGAAATGAGAAACAGTATCTTAGCCCAAGTTCTGGATCAGTCAGCCCGGGCCAGGTGTAAGCATCTTTATATTCCTGTATTTCCATAAAACTAGCTTGTGCTGGTTGAATGGGGAAAGATATATGTAGTTATTGTTATCTCTAGATCAAGTATTTTTTTTAACCTAAAAACTCATGAGATACAAGTTATCTGTAAGAAATACAAAGTTTATAAACTTAGAGAAGTATGTTTAAAACATTGTTAAATTGCCAGCTTAGTTTTTTTTCTTATCAAGACATTATAGGGAACAGCTCCTAGAGTCACTGTTGCAGGCACTTGATGTGAGTGATGGGGAATAGGGGCAGTTTTAGTGTTATGTTTAGAATTTTCCATAAACAACAAAAAAAGAAAAATACTAAAATCAGCATGACCTATTTTGTTCCCATATAACTTGAAGTCCACTTGAGTTGTGAAGAGGCAGCTGTGGATAAAGTGCCTTTCAGAAGGCAGTCATACATAGGAAACGGAAGTATGGGGTTTAGAACCTGACGACCCAAGTTTAATCCCAGCTGTACACCACCTCTTGTGTGTCTGCCTGATACTGACATGGCTGCACTTTAGTTTTCTCAGTGGTAAGTCGGTGATAGCACCGTCTCCTCTGCCTGCTGTGCTGGTTGAGAGCCACAGACAAGCAAATGAGCTTGAGAAGTGCTTTGGAAATAGCAGTGCTTAATTTTAAGGGATAAGCAAATTTAGTTTTGATACCTTTTGCATATATATATATATATATATATATATATATATATATATATATTTTTTTTTTTTTTTTTTTTTTTAGTAAGTAACTTAGCACTTGTAAAGCCTGAAAAAACGAAAGCAGTAGAAAATTACCTTATACAGATGGCAAGATATGGACAGCTAAGTGGGAAGGTAAGCTTGGACTTCCTTGAGGGAACTCTACCTACTGTTATCTACTTTTTACCCAAAACATGACTTCACCAGGTCAGATTCATACGTGATTACAGAATGTTTGATTGTATGAAAAAAATTTTAAAGGCAAAAAAAGTCATATGTGCCATAAATTTTAAAAGATAATTGCCTTTCCCAAAATGCTCTGTTCTCTCCTGGCATTGCTGTGGAAACTTGTTGGTGTCTCTCTGACCCAGTGACTATTAGGGTTGGATGGCTTAAATTGTCCCTGCACTGGAAACAAAGATTGTCCTTAGTATCAAGTAAAATTCTACCAGTATAGTAGAAATTAGGCTCATTTTGCAAATGAGTGAATGCCATTGGGGTTGTAGCATTCTGGCAACCTCAACCTTCCTTCAACATCCACACAAGCCTCATCTGCCTCCGCCCCTGCTCCCCACTGAGCCCCTCACACTGAGAATCCTTGCACTGAGAGACACAGTGATCTTTTGAGGGTGCATCTCTGCTAAGGAAGCGTCTCATGGGCAGTAAGCGCCTATCTTTTAAAGTTACTGCTGTGGTTTGCGTTGTCTACCAGTGGTAATAAAGATGTTAGAAGCTATTTAATAGTTCCCCTTCCTCGGATGAGAAATAGCAAGGGCAAAAAAAAAGAGAAATAGCAAGGGCAATTTTATTTGGAACTTACATGAGTAGTTTGAACCTCCTCCCCTGCCCGTCTCCCTGATGACCTCTTCTCTCACATTCTGGAAAGACTGGAAAATGACTTACTTTGCTAAGAGACTGTTTGCTTTCTTCTGATATCCTAGGTCTCAGAACAAGGTTTAATAGAAATCCTTGAAAAAGTAAGCCAACAAACAGAAAAGAAAACAACAGTTAAAGTAAGTTTCCCCAAATGCACATGGCAAAAGAAAAGGTTGCTTGCTACTTTAAATATTAAGTGTTGACTGTACGTTTGCTGCTGTGTATTAGAGCACCTCTCAGCTCACAGTTATGGAAGTTTGGGAAGAAAGGCTAAATACATTGAGGGGGTCTAATAAGGTTTTTGCCCTCTGACTGTTTCCTGTTTTGCTAAGTTGTTCTAAAGACTTAGTCTTCATTAAACATGTTATGACACTCATTTAATTTCCCTTCTAGTTTAACAGAAGAAAAGTAATGGACTCTGACGAAGATGATGATTACTAAACTAAAAATGGTTAGAGACTGAAACCTAATGGAATACTTCTAGGACAAAAGTTAAAATCTGTTTAAATGTTTACTTTGTTTTTGTCTATATGCCTTTTAAAAAATAAACTTATTATGTAAAGTAAAACGCTTGGGTAAGTTGTTAAAACAACTAAAGTGTTAAAGCCAAGTGACTAGAAGATTGGCTTTTAAAATTATTTTCCTTTTCTACCAACAGCTTTTAAATATGTGGCAGACTCATGTGTATGTGCTTTGCAGGTGTGACATTTTATTAGGTAGAGGAAACATCACAAAGAAAAATAAAAGCTTGTGTATTTAATGGAAGAAAACACCTAGTTTGGTTTGTTCCATAATCTGTTTTTGAAAGGCACTGAGATTGCTGCCTAATAAGTTATGGCTTCCATCCATAATAACTAGTGTGATACTTCTATTGATAAAATGACAAGGACACAGCAGTAATACTCAGTGGTAAACATGTTTGTAAGGGAAATGTCTTGTAATTATAGAGAGCCCATTCCTGTCCTCATGGCCTAGGAAAGTTTATATTTGTAATAAATTTCAGTTTACCACTTCCAGTGCAACCCATAGTGAGAATAAAGACACCAAGGCATATTTATAATTATGGGGAGCCATGGGATCCTAAGTCCAGCAGGTTTATGGGAACAAAGGTCTTGACCCTGGGGCCTAGCATTCATTTTATTCGTGTAAAGAAAAGAGTGACTTGATGTGAAAATGGTGGAAAATACTTGAGTATTGTGAGTTGGGCTAGTTAGCAAGTCTAAAATCACCTCTTCAATATGCAGAGAGAAAGATAGGCAGAAAGACTGATCTGTATAACAATTAATGTAGCATTTAATGTTTTGGTGGCCAGTGCTTCAGCTCTGATGTGTAAATTTTTCTCCTCTGGGAAGTCATAGCCTTTTATCTCAAGGTTCAAATCCAGTTGACAACCATGGAGCCATTGCTCTTCATCCTGCCTGACCCAACCAGTTTTGGGAGTCATGGGGCAGGAAAACAGGGACTGTCACCTAGCTTGCATGAGCACCTCAGCTAGCCCTGTTTACACTGTTAAAGCAACTGAAAGAACAGAAAGGCATGTCCTAGCCAGCTTTGTATAAAAGTAAATGGAGACAGGGCCAGATTTAGCCAAATGGAGATAACTGCCCTTTAGTCAAGGAGTCTTATCTAGGTGATCCTCACCTCATGATTAAAATCCAGCTTGTAACAGTTCTACTGTTACATGATCTAGTCGGAATGTTCTGTATTCTTCAGTGATGAAGCTGCAGGTGACCTAAGGCAACTATCATCTCATACTGGGCTTCACTTCCACCAAGTTATAAAAACCTTTGATCATTTAAATCATAAACAACTACCAGCTGTTTGTTGTTACAAACTTTAAATGTTTTAGTCCTGTGAAACTCGGTCTAGGAGTAATTCTGTAACAGTAAGATGAAGAAGGTTAATAGCAGAAAAGTGTTGAGGGTGTGCTTTATGATTCCAATCTCTACTTTAGTCAGCAGACTGCTGACATTTGTTTATATTGTAGTCAGTAAAAGTTAGTGGAGGAGCATTCGGGAAGCTCTGGTTTGTCCCAACACCACATTGTCAGTGTTAGAAGAAGTGCCTTCACGGTCCCAGATGAGTGAGTGAGTTGAATATAGAATGATTAAGAACAGTAATTTCTTCTTTAAGAAACAAGATTGTCATAGAATTGTTCTAAATTTTGCTTTTGGCTTTATTTACATAAAAATGCTAGTATTTTAGAAAATTCTCAGCAGGTTTTGTTGTTTCCTTTCTCTTGGTAACTTAGCAAGACCCTGCCTCAAAAATTTTTAAAAAGGGCTGGAGTTGTAGCTTAGTTGTAGAGTGCTTGCCTAGCATATATGAGACCCTGAGTTCAAGCAGCGTACTGCAAAAAGGAAGAAGAAAAAGAAACTCTGCTGATGCCAGCTACTGACATGTTTCAGTGTCGTCAGACTTTTCTTAGACACCTGAAGATGAAAAGTGGTTGCATATACCAAGGCAAAAGTTTGTGAAGGCAGCAATGTTGCAGTGTATTTCAGTCTAGGGACTCTCCAGGATGTAATTCTCAACTTTCTAAATTTAAGTCAGTGGCTGGGAATACTGTGAATTCAAACCCATTTTTTAATTAAATTTCGGCATTACCAATTTTTGAATTAGCAAGTCAAGTTTGGTTTTTTTTTCAGGTAGAGAAAATAACTGAAAAACATAAAGTAGTTTAAAAAGTAATAGAGGTAGTCCCTTAACATGCCTGTCAGTACAGTAGCTCCAGGAGGACTCTTCCCCAAAAATAGGCAGTTCAAGTCATGACACTTGTGTGTCCGGGTGAGGGCACATGAGGTTTGAAAGTGCCAGTTCGGTGCCATTGCCAACCAGGCCTTGACGTTGTCTCCCAGGCAAATCAGTCCTTTAATTTTCAGAACTGTTTCCTCATTAGGTCGTTCTATCCAGTGTGGTAAGTGCACACTGAAAATAGCTTCAAAATTATATTGTCTCAACTAGATAACCAGATAACATCAAATGTTTGTATTTCCATCTTAAGACTGTCCTGACAAAGTGTATAGGACATAGTTCCTTAGGTGAGATGATACAAAACCACAGCAACTTAGGTCATTTTGTTTTAAAGCAGGAAAACAGCCCATGGTGGTGATCACACACCTGTAGCCCCAGCACTTGGAGGCTTGAGGTAGGAGGATCAAAAGTTGAAGCCCAACTTGTGCAACTTAATGACTTAAGACCTTGTGTTGAAATGTTTTTAAAGGGCTGGGGTTGTAGTTCAGTATGAAAGCCCTGGGTTCAATCTGCAATACTGTAAATTAATAAGGGAAGAAAAAGGAAGAATCAATTAGAACAAAGAAAAATAAGCAAAGCAACACTGCTTATTTTCTGTTTGTAGTAAAAAACTATATATAGTTATCCTTATAGTTTTAAAAGAAAGAAACTTCTCTGTGGATCTCTCAAAGTAGTTTGTCCCTTCAGCACTGTAAATAAAACCAAAAGCAAACTTTATCTGTACAAAATTCCTGAACAAATTTTATGACACTCTTGTTTCTTAAAATATTTTTAAATGTTCTTAGTGGTTATACTAATTCATTTGTTGACTCAACTATCATAATTCAGCCCTGGTTAGATAGGTGGAAAACGGTCTGCTCAGAGTGATGCTAAGTGTTTTCCGTATACCTGGAAAACGAAATAATGTGTCTGTCTATTTGGGACCATTTTCCTACACACAAAGCAGTTCATAGCAGACAGAAACCTGTCTCCATAAGAAAACATTTAAAAAGTACACCATGACACACTCAAGAATCATAAAGTTTACTATTTCTTTTCCATCGTTTGGCACATATCCAAGGCACATTAGAAAATTAGAAATCATAAATTACTTTGTAGAAAAATAACCAGTCCCTCCCTTCTATACATACACAAGTATTTCCAAGAATGTGCACAAAACCACTTTCCCATTACAAAGTTCCTTGAAAATTTTCTGAGGACAAACTCATGTTTGTAGCTTTAGGCCAGTAACATAAAAAAATAACAATATAATCTATAGAAATTTATAAAAAAAGTAATACGTGGCAATAAATTCTAACTTAAAATAACATTGACCTGGTTTGTGCTGTAAGTTTTGAAGCTGAATCAAAAGATTTAAGGAAAGATGTGCCAAATCTACTCTCTAGTAACCATCCATTAGATGTGGCCTTTAAGAGGTTCTTCTTAAAATTTTATTTCAGTTTTTTGGTGGTGCAGGGGATTGAAGCCAGGGCCTCACTCATACTAGGCAAGTGCTTTGCTGCTGAGCCCCATCCCCAGCCTTTAAGGAAGGCGGTTCGTAGCGGAATAGATGTTTCTGGGAACACTGCTACAGATGCATACATGCAGTGGCCAGATGTCTGTCAGAAGAAAAACTAGAGCCCACTTTCTCTGTATGCATGGTATAGAACAGCTCTTACGTGTGCTCACCAAGATGAACGTCAGAATGGCATTAGACATCTTTTTGTTCAGGTGTTGCTTCGCAAAGGAACATTTTTCAGGTTCCATTTATTTCTTTGTTTTGATGTGACGTTTCTGCTTGGCCTCCATAGTACCATGAAATGTAAGTTGCTTCTCCATGGCTTATCTCAGATGAGGGGATTTTCTTGGCGCAGGGTTTGCTAATTTATCACAGAGGTTTAGCACCCTGCAGTAGAAGGAGGTCAGAATCTGACAGTGAAACCTCTACCTGTAGCCAGTAAATTCTGATACTTGGAAACACACTTCAGATGAAGTAGCTGGACACTTACCAGAATTTTTGTCCATTCCATTTCAAGTGTATTTATTAGCTTTAAGGAGAGAGATGGTGAAAAGTTTTTGTTGCATTTATTATTTTAGCCACAGAAAAGCTTTCGGGAACCTTCTGAAGATGGTCTCAAGCCAATTATTTAAAAGTATACTTAAGTATAAGCTGTGTTCATGCTGAGTGTTATCATCTCGTGTGCTCACTTGTGGTAAATATGACCAATCCTGTTACTCTTGAGGCTGGGAGACACTAGCCTCCTGGGAGGTGGTTAGGCTGCCAGCAGTCTCTGGGTCCTTGGGTACTACCGCGACATCAACGGTGTGCCTGCGGACCATTCGCCGGTTCCCAGGAGCCGGAACCAACTGCTTCAGTCCGGGCCTCTCCTTGGGCAGGTCGTTGCTTCCTTCACCAGCTGTCTGCAGTCGGCTCTGCTCTGGCAGGTGACTGTTTTTGTGTAATTCTTTGCCTCTCTGGCTAAAGAGAAGGTATGGTTCAGTTTATGTCTGCGTTATATGCTGTAAAACACGATGTGTCAACAGCAGCCACCTTTGAGGGCTGCTGTGTCGGATCATACGCTCAGCACTCCAGGCATAATACACTGCAAGTGTAGACTTCATTGATCTGCTTAAAAATATATCTCCAAGTGGAGAAAGGAAAATGAGAGCAAAGTGGGAAGTATTGGGTAAACAGTGATCTCTAACTAGGTTGTCGGACTGTTTATCCAGATGGAATGTAGCCCTCTCCTTACTGCATTATTTAGTCAGTTACGAAAAGAAGGCCAATTCACAGTCAGGCTACTGTAGTCTCAGAAAAGCGACTTAGTGCCACTGAAAGAGAGAGAGCTTATTGGAACAAATATTGTACTTAATATTTTAAACTAAACATATTTTTTCAAAGAAAGTGATTTCTATGAAAGTGACTAATTTTACTATCATATTTAATGTCCAATGGTTTTGGTTGGAGACCTACTCCTTAGCAGGAAACCCCAGTAATGAAGAAGACTACCAAGAATAAATCGTGTACCATGGATTACATTTGAAAAAGGCAGGCTTTTTTAAAAAATAAGGTTTTAAGCTAGAATTTACTAACTTGCCTCATACAAAGAACCTTCTATAAAATTAGGGACTCTTCTATTTTTTGCTGTAATCTCCCTTGAAGTCCTTCCTCTAAAACCCAAAATAAACAGAGTATTAAGTAAGTATTTGGGGTATTTGAAACACTGTTTGGTCACAAGATGGCAGCACTGGGTGACATTTGTACTGCGGATTAAAAGCTGCATATACGTAGCTTCCACTCAAACTGCAGGGTCAAAAGCACAGAAATTGGACAGGGATATAGTTTAGCAGCATAGCATCTGCCTGGCAAGTGCAAGGTCCTGAGTTCAATTCTGGTACCAAAAAGACTACAGAAATTAATCTGAATTTTATACTCACTTAAACTGACCAACTGAGTGAACAAAATAAAACTGTCTTGTAAAAGGCTCATCTGGTAGATCATACATTTTTGAGTTCCCTGAAAAAGAAAGGATAAATGTTTGAAATCAAATGGTTCAAATGCCCCATTTTCTTTAGCTTAACAAAATACAGAAAATTAAGCGTCAGATTTGCTTAAACATATTAGATACCTATCATACGAACCTTGTAAAACAAAACTGTAAATCCTTAATACACTGACACTCAGCTGATTATGGTGCGGCCTCAGGATCACCAAAAACGTGAGTAGGTTATATGTGTCACTATGCTGTGAATGCATTATGTGATTTTAAAAGAGAGAACAAGGACCCTTTGTTTAACTTTCAGGAAAAAGGACTAGTCTTCAGCTATTTGGCTGCTACTGTTCTAATTACCATCAACCTATGTGCACCTGCTGTGATGGGTGATAGCCCATCACTTGTCTAGCTTGGAAACCAGACGGGCAAACAAAAAAATGTTCAAGGAATGTGCACAACATCTGGCTTTGGCATCTGAGGCGTGAGAGCGTTTACTGGAAGTCTCTCCTCACCATTTGTTAGTTGGGGGCCTAAACCTTTAGACAAGCCAAGAGTATCTACCTTATCTCCTCAGGAAATGTAACAATCAGCCAGGAAGCTAATTTAAAAACAAACTTTCCCTTGATCTGAAAAATCAGAATGTGACATACATTTCTGTGGTTCCTGTATCCCTGCCTGTCACATCTACAATTACATTTCACATTCACAGTTAAAACCTTTAGCAACCCATGATTTTCCGAATAAACGCCCGTGAAGAATTAAAGAGTGTAAGTCCTTACATTTTTTCCTGATCTTAACAGTCACACACTCCTTATGGTCTGTCTCAGCAACGTCATCTAATGAGGCAACGCAGCTTGGCACAACTTCAAGTAACTCCAGTATTTTTGAATTCTACAATTTAAAAGGGAAAATGTAACGTGATTTTTTATTTTTTCTTAGCAGGTTATTACTTGTTTTCTATGTAAGTGTTAGTATTGGTGTGGCTGAGTCAAATTAAAAAATAAAGCAACTACAAACAGAATATTTAGGTGATAAAGCCTAGTGGTAAAAGCAACCCTGTGTTTGCAACCTGGCTGTGTCCTCTGTAGGGTACTCAGGGCTGCGGCTGTCACTGCTCCACGTAGTTGGCCTGGCGATAATAGGACCACCACATAGTGAGTACTCAATAAAACAGTCATCACTCGAAAAAGTACTGAACTAAAGTGACCTGTTAAGACAGGTCACCGAAAGTTAAAAATCAAGAGGCCTATGGTTAAGCTGGATTTACAGTGACTTCAGCATCCCAGCTGGATCATTTAATAGCCTTCCTAGCTGTCCATTCTGAGTAGAAAACTAGATACTCATTTCAAAGGTAAGAAACGAGGGTGTATCACCTTTGTCCATGATAAATACCCACCACACTGGAAGGGGGTAAACTGCAATCACACTTCTCACAGAACTCTAGGAGTTTGAAATCCATGAATTCAACATGCTTTCTGCACTGAGCTACGGGCACTGGCAGAACCAGCGTGGTAGTATAACTTGCCACTCCCTTGGCACTGGCTGCACAGTGAGAGTGTCACGCGAGGGCACATACTGGGGTGCCCTTGGAAGACTACCCACAAAAGGATGGTTCCCAGCTCCCTGAGCTGCTGCCCTGACAGGTGACATGAGCAGGTGTCCGGTACACCAGTTCCAAAGGTCTCAGGACTGTGGCTGTTGAGAATCTTATTCCAACACTGTGAGCTGCAGGGGAGCTTGGGACCGCAGATCCCTGGTGTCCCCGCTCACCTGTTCTGCGCAGTCTATAGCTGTGCACTGCCGCTTGTTGAGGACATGCACCGATGCTCCATGAAGCAGAAGCAGCTCCACCACGAAGACGTGCTTGCCTATCACAGCCTCGTGCAGGGCCGTATTGCCCTTATTGTTAGAAGCATTGATGGAGGCCCCGTGCTAGAAAGAGAAAGAGCACAGTCAAAAGGGATGGGACAAAATGTAAATGTGGAACCTAGGTGGTGTATGGATATTTATGACAAGATTCTTTTAAACTTTACTGCATCTCTGAAATTCTGAAATCATAGTGGTAAAAGTAAACCAAGAAAAAAGATTAATGGGCAAAGATGCCCACTGTAGCATTTATCATAGCAGAAAAAACAAACCACTTAAATTTACAGATCAGTAATAGTTCAGAAAAGTGGCACACGCCTATAATCATAGCTACTGGGGAGGCTGAGGCAGGTGGATCACAAGGTCAAGTGTAGTTGAGACAATTTAGCAAGACTCTGTCTTGGGGAGTTTTAAAACGGGTATGGGGCATGTAGCTCAGTGGTAGAATGCCCCTGCGTTCAATCCCCAGGATCACAAAAATATTTTTAAAACTACTGTGGGACATCCAGACTTACCTGACCATTCAAAATCTAGGCTGTAATAAAAGTTTTCTACTGGAAAACAGTTTAGTAATCTAAATATCCACATTTTTAAAAGTTCACCAAAATGAGTTGCTTTGAGCAGGAAGGTTTGGACAAGCCCAATTTTCCCACTGCTTTAGACTCTGTTCTGCCATGCAATATCCAGCAAGAGGGAAATCAGACCAGGCCCAGACCTTCAGAAAAACAGCCGAAGTCCTCAGTGCTGCAGCCCTGACACAGCATGGTCGCTAGGATCCTCATTTGCCCGCCCTGCAGAATCATGGGGCATTGTGGGGAGGGGGGCTGACCTGTAACAGCAGCGCTGCAACTTCGTGATGGCCAGCAGAGCAGGCATAAATGAGGGGCGTGTTTCCACTTATGTCCTTCTTATTGGGTTTTGTATTAGAATCCAGTAGGTACTTCACCACCTAGGCCAGAGGAGAGAAAATTTCAGCCTTAATTAAAATTTGCAAGAAGAAATCCTCTAACTTGAAATTCTGACTCTTCCCTAAGCTTACTGAGGCTTTTCAGACATGCTGACCCCTCAGGAGAAAGGACAGCAGCAGAGAGGGAGGGACACTGTTTCTGAGGCAGTGTGCTGGGCACCAGTGTTTCCACTTCATCTTTATTTCTTCCCTATGGAGAGCTGGGATCACAACTCGCATCTGACAGATTAGGGGCTGGTGCCAAAAAGCACTCTGCTAGTTCAGGGGAGACACGGACTCAGGTCTATAAGCTTACAGTGGAACTGAGAGGAAACTGAAAAATATTCACATAGGTAATTTCCACCCACACCACAGGATTCATCAGTCCCAACTTCTCTGGAACCCCTCCTGTGAGGCTATGCCTTTAGGAAGTACTGAACTGTTTGGCACAGACACAAAAGTGGTAAGGTAACCCAACACCTGAGCAAAGGAGACTACCTAGAATGACACCCCTGGGTCCCCCAGATGTAAAGACAGTGGAGTGGGGCTGATTATCCAAGAGAGGACCAGAGTTGCATGCTCTGCTGCAGAGTGGTCCTGCCACACACATCGCAAATCAGGAAGGAGTTGTGCTGTGATCCTGAGCCCTGGCCCTCTATGCACAGGTCCCAAGTGGTGCTTTCACCCAGGAGTAAGCACCTTGTACGCACCTAAGAGACAGCCCATACCTGAAAGTGGCCCTTCTGGCAAGCCAGGTGGAGGGGCACAGCTTGGTTTGTGTTCCTGGCACTCGGGTTGGCACCGTGTTTCAATAGGAGGGGGATGAGGTCTGCCCGACCATGCAGAGCAGCAACGTGCAGTGGAGAGGAGCCGTCCTGGTTGGTCACATTCACCCCGAGCCCACTAGCAGGAATCTTGGCCAGCTTCTAGTACATTCAACAGTTGAAACAAAAATCTCATTAATGTCCAACAAGTCAAGCTGAAGGAATATAAGATAAGCCATTTGCCCTCCCCTGCCTTCTATGCAATATGCGGGATCCAGGATCACATGTCTCTAGGTGAATCCCTGCTACTTTAGAAAGGTGTGATACACCAGAAGATTAACTTCTAGTTTTAGTAAAGCAAGCCTGCTAGAAGGATGCCCTGTTATACCAGGCGCATCAAAAAGGACAGTCTGTGTCGTTGCTGAGGCAACTGAATGTCCACAGGGGAATGTGGCACATCAGCCCTTCCTCATTTCAAACAAATCAAAAGTCATCACAGACAGATACGTAAAAGCTACAACTACAAAGTGTGTTTATTTATTTAATTACATAGAAAGTATCGCTATATAGTTTAGGCTAGTTTAATATGTAGCCCAAATTTGCAATGACACTTTAATATGGCCTCAAACTTGTAATGATCCCCCTGCCTCAGCATCCTGCAATATAGGATAAAAAGCAGGTGCCAGCATGCCCAACTATAAACTATAAAGTCTCTTAGCCAGGTACGGTGGTACAAATCAGTAATATTAGTAACCTCAGGAGACTGAGGCAGGAGGATCACAAGTTCAAGGTCCACCTGAACTACATTGCAAGTTTAAGTCCAATCTGGACTACATATTGAGACTGCATGTCAAAAAAAAAAGAAAAAAGAAAAGAAAGCAATAATCTTTACTAGGGTAAAGATTCCTTAGAGAAGATGCAAAAACTAAAAGTTTGATAAACTGGACTTACTTTAAATGTTTGTTCTTTGAAAGACATGATTAAGAAGATAAAAGAGCAAGTTGCAGAACGGGAAAAGATGTCTACAATATCTGTATCTCAAAGTACTTGAACCAACCAGAATTTAATATTAAAAAAAACTGAAGAAGACAGTCCATCTTAAAAAATAAAGAAGCAGAAGATCTGAAGAGACCCTTTCACACAAAAGACGTAAGCGAATGCTCAGTCTTTGAGAACCTAAAAAGATGTTTCTCGGGAAAATGCAGACCAGGGTCAAGAACGACACACGGAGGGGTGAGGAGCAGAGCGGCGGTCTGCAGGGACGCGGAGGCGCGAAGCAGTCTTTGTAACTGCTCGTTACTTATTGCAGTTCCTCTCCTTCACTTTTAGCATAACCCCTTAGCATGCACAGTGGCTCCTCAATCAGCAACGCTGGGAAGGACGACAAGCAATAAAAAGGGCAACACTGCTCGCAAGCCGATTAACAAACACTGAGGCATACATTCAGTTAGCAGCTGAATTTTACTGTAAGTAAATTATACCTCAGAAATCGAGAGCAAATGAGGAAAACACACACACACAATATGAAATATCCCCTCATATTTCTAAAAAGGATCTAAGTGGAGATGCACCCCTCATTTCTACCCACTCCTGGCCATCATGAGCCACCAGCCATGCAAACTAACAGTTAGCGCCTGCACCACAATGGCTCCCAATAAAAAGTCAAACGCTGAGTGGTGAACCACACGTAGAGCAACTAAAACTCTCACACTCTGCTGTGTGGGTAGAAAACACAACAACCGCTTTGGGAAATTAGTGGTTTCTTTAGGGATGTTCACGGTCTCTGCAAATATTTCAAAATCTAACAAACTGAGACACTTCTGGTGCCAAGCAGAAGTGATACTCAGCATGTACTTTATGACTCCAATTCTACATAAAATTCTAGAAAATCCAAACTAAATCTCTGGAGATAGGTGCCTGCAGCAGGGGAGTAGGGAGAAAGGACTGACTGCAAAGCAGCAGGTAGGAGCCCTGGACGGACACACTCCCCACCTGGCCTGTGTGACTGCCTACACACCTCTAGCAGCTCACTGCGTGTGAACTTGGCATGCACACCCTCCACCGCATGTAAGTCACACCCCAGGAAAGGGTTTCTGTTACTTGTGGTTTTCTGGGACAGGGTCTCATTATGTTGCCGAGGTTGGCTTCAAACTTAATCCTCCTGCTTCAACCTCTCAAATGCTGGGTGAAGCACCACACTATTTTCAATGAAGAACTTTTTTTGTAAAATGAATTCTAAATACCCCAAAAGATATGCTAGAAGAAGATGATGGCGGGCTAGAAGAAGATGGTGGTTGGGGTGGGGATTGTAACAATTTCAGACATAAAGCAACAGTGTCATGTCTTTGAGAAATTACAAAATGGAAAAGAATTTGAAGGTTTTAAAAGAGCAGGGAGTGTAAGACTTTATCCAATCAATTCTACCAATACTTTAATGTAGAATTCCATTTCTTGCTTGCTTACAGTCTGTGAACTGTGAGGTGGGGAAGCACAGTGAGTAGGTAAATCACAGCAAGAACAGAAGCAAAGACACAGCGCTTGGGGGCTGCAGGCACGGGCACCGACTCGCTGCCCACCGTGCTCCTTAGGAGCGGCACCTGCCTTCCAGTTCCTGTTTGTCACAGCAGCCGCCTGAGAAAATCGGTCTGGGGACTGCACACGCCCCACAGCACGGGAAACAGAGAGCTGCACTCCTCAGTGGCCAGCTTAGCCTCAAGTGAAAGCTGTAGGTGAACGAAACCTGTTGTTTTCAGCATTCTTAGGTTAGGTAACCCCACAGCTGTCTTTTTTTTTTTTTTTTTTTTTTTTTTTTTAAGGCTGTAGTATTCTCTCAGAGCATAAAGGATAACACCACTGGTTTGTGAAGGCAAATTAATTTTCTTAGAAGGAGATGTACGCATTTCTAGTTAGCAGCCATACAAGTACATCTGATGAACATAACACCATTTACAACTGCTCAAAAGCAAACAGCTAACAAAAGGGAGAGTATATGTGCTACAAATCACAAAAGGTTGAAAGAAATCCAAGGCCATAGTACTTGGAGATGTGGCCATGTTCGCAGATGACTCCGCATCACAGAGACATTATTTTTTCCCCAATCTATAGATTTAATGTAATTCCTATCGAAATCCCAGAGATATTTTTTTTTTGTAACCATATGCAAGCTTACAAAATGTAGAAAGGCTCAGGCCCTAAAAGAGCTACAGCAGTCCCAGCAGAGACACATAGATTAGGAAGACTCGCTCTGCCCAGTATGAAGACTTACTATAGAGTCTCAGCAATGGAGACTGCATTAGTAGTGAGGGAGGCAGATCAGTGGGACGCAGCAGAGAACACAGAAACAGATGTGCACCACTGAGGTACAGAAGCCACTCTGCAGAGGTGTCGGAGCAAGTGGACAGCCAAAGGCAAATATAAAACCTTCAACACAAATCTCACACATTGTCTAAAATGAACTCAAGGTCCCGCACAGTGGTGAACATCTATATTCCCAGCACTCTCAGCACTGAGTAGCTGGCGGGACAGGCACATGCCAATCAGTGATTTCCAGGGCCAGGCCAAACGGCATGGGGCGGGAGACAGGGAGAGTGTTAGGTGCAGTTAGAAAAGGACACGAGTGATTCTTCTGTTGAGAAAACCCTTCTCAAATGTTACCGTGGATGTGCAAGCCTGTAGGTGTCCACAGGTGTGACAGAACTATATAGAATTAAACACATAGATGTGCACACGTAAAATCGAGAAAGTCTCAACTAAGATCAGTGGATTACATTTGCCTTCTAGTTAGGATTTTCTTACTATAGTTTTGCAAGACACCCTGGGGGAAACTAAGTTAAAAGTCCAAAGGATCTCTCTGTACTGGCACGGGGATCCCCAGGAAGGGTGAATGAAGCCACGGAGCAAAAGGAATTCCAGCACAGGGACAGCCCCCCCGGGCACATCCGCTTACAAACTCCTGCCTCGTTACTGGGCCCCAGAGCGCAGCTGAGACCTAAGCAGGGAGCGTGTGCCGGCCCACCCAGCTGCCATGGCAGGACGCAGACAGCCCAAGCCACATCCCGCCCTGGTGCTGGTTTCTTCCCAGCCCCAGCTAGTTAGTCCCCAGCACATCTCAGCAGACACTTACTCAGAGCTCCTCACTAATTACCTGGCTGAGGAACAGAGAACTTTCCTAGGGGAAGAAAGAAGAATTTGCCTTCCCGCCCCTAACAACAGAGGCAGAGCCATACCTTTTGAGCTGGAGCACATTTGGGACACTGGCACAGGGGGTGACAAAATTCAAGATCCACCGCACTGACAGCATCCTCCGCTTCGTCCAGGTCCTCCTCTGTCCACTCCAAAAGGTACCGCACCTAGTGTTGGAGAGGAAGGAGACGTGGGAGCCGAAAGTTACCCTCTGTGCCTTTACAGGCTACAGTGCCACCCCCACACACTGAACAGCTCCCATGTAGGGGCCTGCACTTTCTTCCTCAGCCACCACAGCAGTTTATAAATGGTTCCTGTAACCCACCGCATTCACCAGTGCACAGGCCTTTGTAAGTTCCGCGAATAAAAGTTAACTCCAAGTCAGACACAATGGTGCACATCCGTAGAAGATGGAGAGGGATTTACCTGTTATGTTTGCGGCTCCTGTTGATCCCTCCTCTGTCTTACAAAGTGGTGTGCTGATGCCACCAAGGGCAGGCATTCAGACCAGTCCTGGCGCCTGCAGTCTGTCCCCTTACGTTCCCTAGCTATATGCATCCCGTGCCCCAGAGGAAGCTCCAGAGCCTGCCCTCCTTACCTGACAGAACATGTGCCTTGGGCAGCCACCCCAGCCCAGTGCACAACCAGTTGGGCAGTGAGACCCACTCACAGGTGCCTGGGCTCCACCAGTGTGTTCTGCCACCACACTTTAGACCCCCAAACAGGGCCAATTTATGTGCCAAAAACACTGGTTTCTAGGATGGTAGATGCCTAGAGAATAAGCATATTAATGCATTTCTAGGCCTGGTTCTGAGTACGGCAAACCAGCACATTCCTGTGAGGAGGGACAGTTTGTTTTGGGAGGACCCCTGTCAGTTCCACCCCTTCGCATTCCAGGTCCCTTCCATGACCCTGATAATGAACACTGCCCACAGGACACACTCGAGGCTTTTATGCAGGCATCTACCAGCCTAGGTGACACATGCAGTTCCTCATGGAGAGAGAAAGGGAGAATAATCAGGGTAGGACCCTGCTGGGTGTTATACTAAGATGCTGAAAAATTAAAATAATTGATTAAAAGATAATTAACAAAAATAGTTATTTAAAAAGATAGCTATTAGCAATATTGTCATTCTGTACTGAGCTCATTACCCTAGTAACCAAGCACCAACCACATAGTTATAAATTAACTGACCGCATCATTCTGCTGTTCTATAATGCATCATCCCCACCACCTTAGTGACCTGTGTGCTATGTCAACTTTTGTTCCCCTTGTAAGAGACAAATGATGCTGTCTCAACCATTGTTCCCTTTATGAGAGACAAATGTTCCTGGAATTGGCAGACCAAGGGCTATGAATTGGCTAACCACCCACTGTGAAATGCCTCTTACCTCAAGCAAAGGGGAACAAAGACCCACCTTATTTCTGTTTCTCATCACTATGTACTTAATGATCAATGAGCTAATCATAAATGAACTATAAAAATCAGTCAAAACTCTAACTCAGTTGCACAGCTTTGCAAATTCCATCTGCACTGTGTCGCTGGGCCAGCTAAAATAAAAGCTTCTTCCTAAAAATGACGTCATTCCGCCCCATCTTTTCCATCTCAGGGGTTTTGCCCCATTTTTCATCTCAGGGGCTTTTTGGGGAAGTAAAACACTGGGCAGGTGACCTGGATAGGGGCTTGGACAACAATCAAATGTGAGATCAGTCTGAGGACAACTCGGGTCACGGGGCAGCTGTCTTGTCCATTACCTGCTGCCTCACAGAGCAGATCACCAGGACAAGGGACAGGCACCAGCGCTTCTCCACTCGGGCTATGCCTGGCTCACACCTTAGCATTCTCCTTTGGTTCCACAAAGGATGCGGGTGATCCTGGGCTGGTCTCAGCCTTGGCCACATGCTGACACTCATGCTCCCCAGAGACTCTATGTGTCACTCTCAGACCCACAGGGGCCTCTGGGTGAAGACCAGTACACCAATGACTATGTTTAGATCCTGCATCCAAGAGGTGGGAAGAATCGGACTCCAGCAATTTCTGTCCACCACCTCAGGCTACTCAGTGAAAAGCACTCTTGAAACACACATTGCTGTTCAGCTCTCACAGAGGATGATTTACTCAGAGCTTTAAATGGGTAAGCACCTCATTTACTACCCCATTAAAAGTGGCAGACAGAGGCTGGCCATGGCAGTGCATGCCTATCATCTTAGCATTTTTCCAGGTTAAAGCAGGAGAATCATAAAGACCAGCCCAGCCTGAGCAACTTAATGAGACTCTGTCTCAAAATATAAAAGGACTGGGGATGCAGGTCAGTGTGAAAGCCCTGTGTTCCATCCTCAGTACCACACACACGGCGTACTCCCTTCAGCAAACCAGGGGAAAGCTGGGGAAACTGCCCTTAGGAATCTCCCACAACCTCTCTCTGCTGTCCCCATCTCATCAGATATGCCCTGTCCTTTGCAGTGTTGGTAGGGCGGATCCCTTCCATCAGCAGCCAGTAACCACAGCAGCAACTCTCTGGCTTGTGACTGTCAGGGCCCCAGGCCTCAGACCACAGCCGCAGCCCAAGGGTCAGAGCCACCTCCCACTGCAGCCAGGCTGTGGGCTGGGCCTTGGTCTCTGTCATCTCCTCTCCCCATGACCCTGCACTCTCTAGGCCACCGAGCAAGGTCTGGTCTTCCCCACATCTCACCATCCCTGGAGCAGGCATGTCTTCATCCTGTGCTTCCTTACTCATTTAGAAAATACAGCATTGCTGCCACCAGCTACACAATGCATGCACCACCCTGTCTGATGCAGACCGAGCAAAGAACCCAAAGCTCGAGACTGGAGATGGAAACACAAGTGTAGCTGTTTTGGACCAAGCTCTAGCTTCTTAAAGTGCTTGTCAAAAGACTCACCATCTCCAGGTCTCCATCAGCAACTGCTCTTAAAAGTTTTTCTACCTTAGTGAAGGAAAAAAAGAGTGTTAGAAAAATTATCTTAATAATAAAATAACAAGAAATAATATACACGTTCTGAAAACATAGTAGCCTTTGTCTGTCTCTTGATGTGTTTAATATTGACTTATGTAATACCTTTTAAATATCTCCCTAAAATTGCTCCAAAAGAGCATCCTGAGAAAAACCATTGTCATTTAAGGCACATAGAAACATAACTACTAGCTACACATAATAGCAGATACCTGTAGTTTCAGCACTCAAGAGACTGAGGCAGGAGGAGCTTAAGTTTGAGGCCAGTGACTTCACAGTGAGGCTTGTCTCAGAATAGGAACAAATCAAACCAAACCATCAAAGCTCTTAGTTACTGGCCTGTAGAAAGGTGAAATGATGGTGACTGGTATACACTGCTTTTTAAGAAGCCAGGCACCCTATGATTCAGAACTACACATACTCTGCTCTCATTAAATACCAGCTGAGAGCACAGGAGGGTGGATACCCTCACTCAAGAAAGCTTTCAGGCCTCTGTCAGCCTGTGCACTGTGTGTCTCTTAGCTTTCTTTGTGGGTGCTCTGCACAGGCTAAATTTGTTGGGCCTCCAAGGACAGGTCACAGCTTGGGTCTTGGTGACACTAGGGTCTAGTCTCTAAGCAGCCAGGGGTGGCACGTTCAGCTCATTAGTCAGGGTGCTTATGGGTTGGGGATGGAGAGCAGAGAGCTTTTCAAAAGATCTCAAATCAGTGGACGGGCAGGTAGCTTTGCTTGTATTTTTCTTAGCATATCCTCTCTCTGCCCCTGTCTTTATCTCCTCATATACACAGTTCAGCAAGCTGCTAAGGGAAACCCTGGGAGGGCCCAGAAGTGAAAAGCAACATGAGGTGCAGTTGGACCATCACTATAGAAATGGCCTGTCCAGTAACAGGTCAGCAGGCTGGTGGGCAACTCTCATCAGTTTATGGCTTTTTGTTTTTGCAGTACTAGGGATTGAACCTAGAGCATCTGCCCATACATCCTTGGTGACCCCTGCCATTGTCCCCAACCCACATAATTTTTTGGCATGATCTCATTAAGACATTAAGTGGCACAAGCTGGACTCAAACTTGCAGTCCCCTGCCTCAGCCTCTCAGAGTGCCATGATTACAGGCATGCACCACCATGCCCAGTTCAGGCTATGGCACTTTAACTGGCCACCATGACCCGAGATCCACCAGGTCCGCTTTACCATTCTCCCAACAGGAAGGCTCACCTCTCTGTAGTCCTTCTTGGGCTCCTCTTGTTTAGAGCTCGATGACATGGAGGAGAAGCTAGAGGTGGAGGAGCCCTGGCTAATGGAATTCACAGAGTGTTGAGGGGACAGTGCAGGGACCTGTAGGAAATACACCCAGGAGAGAGAAGGGTCATGGGCATGGAGACACATGAGGGCCACAGATGGGCCTGGAGCTCTAATTTCCCCAGCTAGTGTAGCCCGCCAACTCACCTCAGAAGACTTCAGCCTCCTTTCAGAGGACAGACGATGGGCTTCCATTATAGACAGGATCTAAGAGGACACAGGGCACGAACAGCAGCATGAATGAGATGACCAGCAGCAAAGGATCATCACCTGTGGTCCCTCTGCCCACCTGTCCCACAGAATGCCAGCGCAGCAAGAATCTGAGGTCCTCCAGCCTAGCCATGGCCTGGGACATACAGCAAACTGAGGCCTGGTGCAGTGGGAACGCAGTCAGTATCACATCACACAGGCAGGGCTTCTTGCCCTTGTACTGCATTCCTCCATTCAAAGTTCCCTGACTGGCCCCAGCCTGCTGTCCACAGCATCCAGTGTGACTTTCCTACTGGGACCCATGACTCAAGCAGGGAAAGTCCAGAGTTGGCAAGAAGGCAGCCTGTTCTTTCCTCTGCACCTTTCCCTGCAGACAGGCCTCTGGGCAACCACAGGATAGAGACTCCCCTACTGCGGCGTCTCAGTGTGGACCCAGGGTAGCAGGGCCCACACTTCCCAACTGCTGCAACCAGGACCTTATGCATGTTCACAGCAGTGCAGCTGAGGGCCCTGGAGCCAGGAGCAAGGGTGCAACCCTTCCAAACCAGTGCTACTGTAGCCCTAACGCTAAGCATTCTTATCACACACAGAAACAGCAGCAATAAATAATGGGAGGGGGCTTGCTGGTGATGGCAATGTTTCCAGCAGAGACCGTGGGCGTGGCTGTACCTAACTTCAGATCCATCAAGTTGTCTCTCTGGAATATGCACAGCTTTTTCTATGCCAACCTCAATAAAGTGGTTTAAAAATAGATGAAAACTGTGCTACTCCCAGAATAAGATGTGAATAAGATAAAGAAACTCCCTGAATTGGAAATAATCAGAGCAAGCTAGTAAAACATCAAAAGGCAGAAAGTTGGACCCATGTGCAGGGGGACAATTGGAGCCTAGTTCTAAAACAGAATCACTTATATGAGCCACAGATACCTAGGGGAAACAGTAGCAATGGCTTCCACTGGAAAATCACCAACCCATTTCTCCCAGGGTGCTCCTTCCAGAAGGGTGGCATTGGGGTGTCAGAGGTAAGGAACTGGCCCCCATGAGTTGCTTTCTTCTCCACCCGCTAATAAGCAATGGCCACTTCCATGCCAAGTTGCCAAAACATGTTTCTAGAAATCACTAACAGAAAAAGGTGTGCAAGTTCACTATAAATCACTGATGGAAGAAACTATTCCCAATGATGTTCAACACTAGCCAAATGAAAATAAAGCTTCTAGCAAGACATGGTGGTACATGTCTGAAATCCCAGCACTTGGGAGGCTGAGGCAGGAGGATCACAGCAAGTTTGAGACCAGCATGGGCTACATAGTGAATTCAAGGCCAGCCTGAACTACATAGTGAGATCCTGTCTCAAAAAAAAAAGCTTCTAGAAACTGAAGTGATAGCAAACAGACTAGGGCATGTCCTGCTCTTATACCCCTTCCCTTGTCTCTGCTTCTGTCACCCTGAGTACCACTGTCACCTAGTCTCCTGCTGGGAAGAAGTCCACAGCATTCACATACTGGGCCAGCTCAGCCAGACCAGCGCTTAGCACGACAATGAGAAAAACCACTAGTAAAATTGAAAATAATCTAAATAAGTAAAACTCATTAACAACAATGTTCCAAATGTAGCAGAGAGGGTGCAGGCCAAGTCACACCCGTAGGCACATTTGCCCTTTGAAGCCAGTCTCTGGACACTGATTGTTTACAGTCACATGCTGCACGGACATGAAAAGAGCTACCTTTGGGTTCAATGCACACTTGAGCGCCGTCTCTTTCAGCCTGTTCTGGATCTCTGTGGGTGCCCCGTTCTGCAGCAGTGTCTCTATGATGCCTTGATAACCCCAGCGCGCAGCGATGTGAAGAGGCGTGTCCCCTTTGTCATTGCCGATATCTAGTCTGCAGGACTGCACATCATAGTAGACCAAAGCCTTCACACACTGCGAGGAAATGGGAAGGTGGCACTTTTTTAGTAACACACCAAGCCTCGGGTGGCATCCACATCCCCACAGCCTCAATCCATGTCCCACTTCAGCAGAGGCCCTATGCACCAAAACAAAGTAAAGCCACAGGATCCATGTCATCTGGGCAGGACACCATACTGTTTTCAAAAGAACAGAACTGCCAATCAGTGAGAAATAGCTGCCTGAAACTGTGAGGTCTCCATGTAGAGACCTGAGTCACCATGGCAGGCCTGAGACTGCTCTCCTTATTTAAAGGCCTGCCCACGAGACTGTCCCTCAGCCTGCAGTGTTCCTCAGGTCCTAGATGCAGGGAGAGATTCATGGTTCCTGAACTCATAAGGTGCAGGCTCAAGTGGCCTGCACTATTTTGAACAGCAAAGCAGTTTATGCTTCCCCCAGGAGCATGGAATTCTGGACCAGACAGAGGATACTCAGAGGACCGGGTGTGAATAAAAGTCTTGGGCACCAAGTCCCTAACAAGCTTCCCTAGTAGATGATACTTGGTGTGTGTCACCGCTGCAGGAATAAAGCACATCTTGTGTGACTCCCCAGAGAGAGGGCTGTTTACAGCTCTGCTCTGGTTCCTCCAGACTTCATTCCTGTGCTTTTTCCCTTGGAGGGTTTTGCTATGTCCTTTTGCTATAATAAACACAGCTGTAATTCGCACGACTATATTGTGAGTGTTCCTCGCAGTCGCTGAACCTGTTTGTGGGCTTGAAAAACCTCACACAGTACACATGGATCGCTGTGCTATCCAGGTGAGATCTATGCTGACCGACCCAGGGATTCTGATGACATGGTATTAAGGTGGAAAAGCCTAAAAATGCACAGGATATGATCTCATTTTTGTACATTAACCCCAAACCCAGACTGAACTTTACATGTGCATTTATCTATTTTCATATATTTGGGGAGAAAAAAGCGGGGGGGGGGGAGGAAGAGGAGAGTAAATAGCAAAAAATAACACAAGCATAGTAAAATGGTAAGCTGAAATGGAAACTATAAAATTCCTAGATATTACTAGTAAAATGGAAAATTTGAATATGCACCAAATTAAGAAGCAGATGGTAGTGGAAATGAGTGAAAATGATTTAATTTTAGGATAAGATAATGGGCAATTAAGTTTTAGTTTCTGTTACCTCAATAAAACATCTGTAATACATTAAATTTTTTTAATTAAAAATATTACACACTCCATGTTCCAATCATTATCAACACAAAATCCAACACTAAACTAGCTGGAAGTTCACATTTCTCCAGGAGTGACGAGGGTGAAAACAGCCGCTCCCATAACGGCAGGTGCCACTTACATCTTCGTGCCCGTAGGTGCAGGCCAGGTGCAGCGGGGTGTTACCATTGTTGTCCTGCACCTCAGCACTGGCCTTGTAGTGCAGCAGCAGCAGCTGGCAGAGGAGAGAAGACAACAGGTGAGCCCAGCAGGGCACCGGAAATACGGTCTTGTGTTACTCTCATGGGTGGAGGTCATGGTTCCTGTCTTAAATTCTATTTATTTGTATGGATTGGGCATTCCTAATCCAAAATCCCAAACCAGGATGCTCCACAATCTGAAACTTCTTTTACAGGGAGGAGAGGTGCTGGGACAATGGAACCCAGGGCGTTGTGCATGCTCGGCAAGTGCTCTGTCACTAAGCTACAGCCCCAGTTCCCAAAATCTGAGATTTCTGAGTACCAACACACCGGCACAAATGGGAAATTCTATGCCTGACCTCGTGTGGTGGGTAGAAGTCAAAATACAGATGCACTTAAAATGTTATACAAGATTGCCTTCTGGTAGGTATATAAGGTATTTAAGAGACATAAATGAAGCCTGGACACACCTGTAATTACTCTGGCAGGCTGAGGCAGGAGGACCACAAGTTCGAGACCAGCTACGTAACTTAGACTGTGTCTCAAAATCAAATATAAAAAAGGGCTGATGATGTAGCACAGTATAAATGCCCTGGGTTCAAACCCCAGGACTACAAGCAAACAAACAAACGTAAATGAGGGAGGAGCAAAAGAAGGGGAAAAGGTGGATCAAAATGGTCAAGATACATTATATATGTGCCAATTCCCTGGAACAAACCTAAGTGTCATATATTGTGAATACAAATAATGTTTTTAAAGGAAACATAAGTGAATTTTGTGTTTGTACTTAGGCTCCATTCCCCAAAATATCTCATTATGATGTATGTGCCAATATTCCAAAACCTAAAATAAAACTTAAACCCAATACTCTTCCAAGCATTAACCTGTGCCACATGCCACTGCCCTAACCCTGACAAAAAGTTCAGAGATTAAAGAAAAACACCTCCAGTCTCACCCTCTCTTCCCCAGGATGATCACAAGTTTCACATCCTGACCTGCGGCTTTGTTCCATGGACCCAGACAGGTGCCTCCAACTCCCACCTCCACTGCACTGCCTGTGTGGCCAGAGGAGGTGCAGCAGAGAAGCCACTGCACACGGGTAAGCCCCCAGCTCCCGAGCCCCGAGGTCCCCACTCACCGTCACACTCTGGTATCCCCTCTGACACGCCAGGTGGAGCGGAGTGGAGCCGTGATAGTCTGTGGCATTCACCACGGCACCCTTGGATACCAGGAGGTCAATGAGGGATGCCTGCCCTGCAGAGTGAAGAAGGAAGAAGAGCTGCCCACACCTGATGTGAAGCCACAGAGCACCTCTCCCATCTTATGCCCTGGCAGCAGACATGCCAAAATGTCTGTTTTCTGCTGGGGAGGAGCCAGAGCAAATGTCAAGTCAGGCTCTGCAGACTTAAGAGGCGGGACCCAGCCCACATCCATCTTTCAGTGATCAAAATTAATGGGAAAGCCACGGAACATGCCATGGTTCATCAGTTGATAGGGTGGAATACTATGCAGCCATTAAAATATCAACAAGGAGAAATGCTCTGATACATTGCCAAATGAGCAATAAGCCTTGCAACACAGATTTTTATGCACACATACACAAAAGAATACACAAATTCCAGAGGTTCAGAAATTAAAATTCTCTCAGAGATCAGAGGATGGTCAGTGACATTGGAGGAGTTTGGGTTTCCTACTACAAATGTGTACTGTAAAAATATTTTAAACCACACATGATGGCATGCACCTATAACCCCAGCAGTCAAGAGTCTGAGGCTGGTATGGACTATGAGTGTGTTTAAGGCCTGTCTGATGAGACCCTGACTAAAAACAACAAAAAAACACCCCCAAATACCCTCATTTTTAGGAGAATGGGGGATGGGAGCTCATTATTTTGCCTAGGCTGGCTTTGAATTTACGATCCTCCTGCCTCAGCCTCCTGAGTTGCTGGGATAGATGTACAGTACCATACTTCTTTTACGTTTTAAAGGCAGAGTTAGAAGAATCCCAAATTGATCATTCTGAGTCTATTGTCACAGCTGGGATTCTAGTCCCTTCTCCTTGGCCTCCAGCCCCATGGCCATGTCAGGCAGTCTCTGCTGGGTGAGAACCACATGGACATACTTTGGTGACCCAAGAAGCCACATGATGGCTATCAGGGTCCAAGGGACATTCACTGTTCTGCCCTTGCCAGCCCTGGAGGTGCACCAGGCAGCACCCTGTACTACTACCCCGTCAGCGAGGCCTGCACTGGGTCACCTTGCTTGGTGCCATCCCTTTGCCACAGGAGCCAGACTAAGGCCACGTACCACAGAGAGCAGCCACATGCAGAGGCGTATGCCCCCTGTCATCTCTAGAGAACGGAGTGACAATGGATGGATCATTCAACCTCCTAGGATGGAGAAGACACAGAAAAGCAACATCACTTGGGATGGCATGGTAAAGCCTCTCTCTGACCAGGCCATCACGCCAGCACTCTGGAACCAGAAGACAGACCACAGGATATCTCTTGGGCGCTGTCCCAGGGACCATCCTGCCCTCGGTCAGACTCCTGTAGGAGAGAAACTGAGCCCGAAGCTCTTGTATCCCTCCCCCTCCAGCCCATTACATCTCAGAACCTGGCAAAATAGCCTGTGGAGACCAAAAATGTTAGTGGAAAAAACTGACATTTCCCCACTAGAAAGCACCTTTGAAGGTGAGGCAGAGGCAGCTCCAACACCAGCCCAGTGGCATGCAGATATCTTTACAGTCTCTATTCTACCTGGTTCTCCCAAGGAGCAATGTCAGAGGTGACAGCAGAGGCAGCGGAGGTGCGGTGAGAAAAAGGCCCCTCTCATAAGTGAATGGAAGGTAAGGGGGAAGGTCCACCAGGACCCACATCTTCTCCCCACAACACAGTCCCTCTTACCCAGAGACCAGTTTTTCACAGTCGTCACAGAAGCACAGTGGGTGGCACATCTTTTGGACGGCATCTTTGTCTTCATCTTCTTGGCTCAGAAGTCTTTCCACTTCCTTCTGGTTACCTGATGCGATGTGCTATAAGGCAAGACCACGAACTCTATCAATGTTAGAGAGTCATTTGTTGCTGGAGGTGTGGATATTTTGAAAACCTTTTGCTCTCTTGGATTTCTTTCAAGATTATCTGGGCAGACGGGGAGACTGGGTGGGGTGGAGCTGAAATAAGACTGGGTGATGGCTACATGGCAACTTGTTTATTATTATACTACTCCCTTTATTTCTATAAATGTTAGAAGTTTTCCCTAATTAAAAAATTATAAAATTCCAAAGCAATCCAAAGAGGCACACACTAGATCTCTGAACCTCAGTGTGGCTTTTAATTCCTCACTAGGAAGAGTCTTGTTCCTCTTATGTTTGAATATGGCCTCCGTTTAGGGAAAGATAACAGGTACAATGAACAAGAGGCCTCACTGACAAACCAACCAAGGGCTCAGGCCTGAGACTGCTGGATGCACTCTCTGGGAGCATCAGCAGACTGCCCAGAAGGCCCCGTCTCCCCTAGCCCCCCATGATCTGAGCAGGGAGCTGCCTCCATGTGCCAATGATCAAAGCACCAAGGAATCAGACGCTGCACCAGTCCAGGGCATGCGCACCTATGCATATGTGAGCACAGCTCCCACAGCCAGGAGAGGTCGTAACTGCAGCAGCTACCAGGGGAGGCACTGCTGAGCAGTCCAGGACCAAGGTGGAAGACCCAGGCATGCCTGTCTACAAAGACATCTCAGTATCTTACCTTAAATAGGCAGTCAATGGGAGTTGAGGTCATCTGAGACAGTAGGCTCATCCGCTGCTTAAGAAACAGTCTGTCATCAAAGCCCTCCGACTCCTGCAGGCAAAAGCAAACAATCTGTCTTATCCCATGGACCCAGCCACATGGACGGCCCAGCTGTAATTCCTACCATTTATCAAGGAGCAGGATCAGGGCCACTTCTCCCATGCCTGGATCTGCTCACTGAGGCAGAGAGCAAGCTCAGCTGGACGTGGAGATTCTGACCATGGCTGCCTGCTTGGGACCGGGAGGCACTGGCTATGTAGTGTGGAATGTGCTATCTCTGCCTGTGGAATGTCACACACACACCGCCAGATGGACAACTGAATTACCCTGGCCTCCTCCCCTCTTACCCATCCCTGCCATGGTTACCAGAGGTCTAGACAGGAAGGCATCAGACAGGGTGGTCTCTACCTCTTCCACGTGCAAGCCAACAGAAGGGGTTCTGCTTTGTGAACTACTTATGAAGAGATGCCACACTCATGGGATCAAAGTCCAGGAAGATACTAGGAAGGATTCCTGACACAGACAGATCCTCTCATCTCCAGCCACTTTTCAGGTTTCAAGGACCTGCCCCAGTTAATAATAAATCCAGATCCTCATACTATAGGTATTGTCCACTTGGATATATAAATATAAAAAATTGTCCTTCCTTTATGAAATCACTTCTAGCAAGATAATTCAGAGGATGGTGAGGTGTGGGGAAGACCAGACCATGCCCAGAAGCCTAGACAGTACAGGTCACAGGGAGAGGAGATGACAGAGACCAAGGCTCAGCCCAGTGCCCCGACTGGGGCTGCAGTTGGAGGCGGCTCTGACTTTTGGCCTGGGACTGTGAACTGAGGCTTGGGGCTCTGACTGTCACAAGCAGGGTCCCCCTTACCAACCTCCAAGGAAGGTTATCCTGACAGACAAACACCAGCACCTTGGGAATGAGGCATTTCGGCCCCCAGCTGCTAGGTGCTATTTAAAGCTCACACAATCTACTTTGCACAGTGACTCACAGCTGAGCAGCTTAGGGCTGGAGAAACATCAAAGGCATGCAGCTCAGGTCAATCCTGGCCTCCTTCCTCAATTCAGGGAAGCTGTCTGAAGGGCAGTGATGAAGAAAGTAGGTCTTCTGGGACTGTGACCAGTAGAAGGGAGTGACCGATCCATCAGCAGAGGCTTATTTGGAGAACAGCTAAATAATATTTATCGGACACTCAAGCCAGTGAGGAAAAATGGAAGTATGCAGAACTGGAGCAGGCACTGAGGACGGAAGTGCAAACCTGTAATCCCAGAACTTGCGAGGCTGAGGCAGGAGGACATGAAGTTGAGGCCAGCCTGGGCTACACAGCAGTTCAAGACTAGCCTGGACTACATAGCAAGACCCTTCTCAAAAGAAAGAAGGAGGGCAAAAAAGGGGAAAGGAGAGAGGGAGGAAATAAAGAGAGAGAAAGAAAGACAGACAGAAAGAAAGAAAAAAAAACAAGAAAGAAAGGGGAAAAAAGAGAAACAGAAAGCAAGCAAGCAAGAAAACTGAACCAAGGAATAGTACAAATTGTTTCAAGGTTTTTCCCTTAGTTTTCTGATAGACAAAGGTAAAACTGGAGCCATTTCAGCAATATTTGTTCTCAGAAAACTAAAGTCTTCATTTGTGAATGTGTGTGGTCAGGCGCAGCACAGTGGGGCATACCAACAATCCCAGCGCTCAGGAAACTGAGGCAGGAAGATTGTGAAAAAAAAAGAATGTTTATGGTCATCTCAAGTGTGGTTATATCTTTGGGAGAAAGTTTCTGTGAAACCGTATTTCATGAAGAGTTGAAAGCAAAACTTTACTTAATTTACTAATATTTAGCCCTGGCTATTTTTCAGAAACCTTGCTTGTGGGGAGATACATGGGAGCTCTTCTCCCAGGAAGCAGCACCATGACATGGCACTGACTTCACATATTTCCTACAAGGAACTTCACTACCTATGAGAAGGGAGTCAGCAGCTAAGGCGGAGGCAATCAGTACAGACAGAACCCCAATGTCAGTGTCACAAAAGACAAGGAAGCCACAGTGCCTGCTTTGTCAATAACAGGCCACGCTCAGGTGGAGAGCATCTCTCAGGGCTGACTCATTCCACAACAGGGGACAGATCCCAGGCAGGTCAGGAGGATGATGCATCCTTGGTCCAACCTCCATGAGAATGACCACCCCGCATCCAGGAAGGCAGGATCAAGGCAGATTCTCCAGACAAGATAGGAGCTCTGGGTTCTGTCCTTCCCTTGCACACTGAAGCTAAACACCATGTTTGGGGATGACTTTACAGAATACACAGGAGAGAGCCTAGATATAGACACCCCAGATACAGGGATGTCAGGAGAGCAAGCAGGGGCACCAGAATACCTTGATGCTTCAAACGTTACCCTTTGCTAACATGATTGATTCTCACAGCAATCTATCACTGGGTGGAATATGCAGCACTGTCCTCAGCGGGAATGGGAAAATGGACAGAGTCTCAGAGTGACGAATACATTTGCCAAAGGTCAAAAAGAGATGCAGGACTCAAACTACCACCAGCACAAGAGGGACCACTTGCAACACTTTCTAGAATAAAAGCAGGGGAAGGAAGTTCCCTGGTTCTGGTCAGCTACCTCCTTCCAACCTGACTGAGGCCTTCAGGCATTAACTTTCCTAAGTGCCACAGAAAGGAAGAGATAGGATGGCCACATCATGAGACAGCAAAAGGACAGGAGCACCTTTAGGTGGTGGACCGCTCTCTCCTGAAGACAAAGGATGCTCCTGGCCCCATCATACAGTGTCAGGCTGATTCCCCCACATGATGGAAGAGCAGGAGAGAAAGGGGAAAGAACCACAAGGCAAGACCATCAGGGCAAACCACTCCAGATGCGATGAGAACAGGCTCCTAGAGCCTCACAGAAAACAAGTCCAAGGAATAACGCCTTACAACTACAGGAGTGAACAGCAATTCTGATTCTGCACACAGGAGTGCAAGCAGAGGCATATGGGCACACACATGCATTCCACAATGTAATTTCCCCCTAAATATGGAAACAAGATAAGGCAGAAGGGAACAACTTCAAAAGAGCCACAGCTAGCCACATCTGCAGTGACAAGGACAGCCCTTAATCTCACCAGCATCTGAGTGAGGGATCACATCATACCCCAGACAAGGGCAGAAACTAACTCTTCATTGCTAACTGTAACACATCAGATTACATGCAAACAAGTGAGCATAATCTCAATTTCCGATTCAAAATGTACCTATAGCTGCACAGAGAAACGGCATATGCCAAAATGTGAATAGCTGGTAAGTCTATGAAATTTTTTTATGTCTTCACTGTAATTTTATGTATTGCATATTTATAAGCTAGGATTGGTTTTCTGATCAGAAAAAAATTAAGGTCTTCTTTGAGGGGAAAATAGCATACAATATACTTAGGTAGGTAGCATGCATGGATAGGAAAAAGTCTGGAAAATATACCAACATGTTAGTGAGGAATAAATTTGGTGGAATTGCTGTCACCTGCAGGCACCTATCTGGTTTCCAGGTACTTTAACTTAATATTAACATCAGCAGAGAATCTGAATCAAATGATGGTCAGTTCTCACTATACGTGATTTGTAACGCAGAAATCTCTTCACTTTAATGACTTCAACTTTGAGAGGTCTCTGAGGACTATTGATTTTTACTGGTTGGTATGTAGCAGAATATGCCAGTGTCATGGTTTATATCTAGATGTCCCTCAAAGGTTTTGCAGGTACAGGCAGGGCTTTCACAAGGTGATTGGATTATGGGGGCTTTAGCTGACTTGCTGTCAGGAGGTGAGGTCTGCTTGGAAGAGGCGGGGCACTGGTGTATGTATCTCCTTCCTCAGCTCCTCTCTCATCTCTCTGTCCTCGGTGCCTAGAGGTGAGCAGCTGTCCTCTGTCCAGGTTCTCCCACTATGCCTTCCTGCCATGGAACCAGACAACCATGGACTGCTCTTTCCCTACCTGCAGGTGTCAGGTACTTTGTCCCAGTGATGGGGAGAGTGACTAAGACAGCCAGCAATGCAAATGAGGCCCAAGAGTCCCACAGTTCACACAGAAATGTAAGTACCTCCTTTATAGCCAAAGTTCACCAATCAACCAAGAAAACAATGATAAGGCCGCTGAGTTCCAAAACTGCACGCATTAATAATCATTTCTTGCCTATCATCATCAAGAAATCCAAATTCATCATCCCTGGCTTCCTTTTCTACATCTGTGCTTTTGAAGATGACAGGAGTTAATGAGGCAGGATACTCACAATGTGAACCCCAATGATAACTCATCAACTTTCACAAGCAATGAGGGGCTTAATGTTCAGTTTCTTGGGTGGATGTCAAGCATCACTGTCGTTGGACAGCTGAGGCCTCATTCTCTGGACACTGTCAGAATCCCCCCTCTACAACCAGTGCAGACCACTCTCAGAGGTGCCACGGTGCCAGCAAAGGCGAGGGCAAAGGTGTGATCTTACGGGTGGCTTAATGGAAAGGCTTCCTTGCCGAATATATTCGATCGCAGCCTCAATTGAGGTCAGGCAGTACCCCAGTTCATCTTTCGCTGAGCTGCTGAATCTGAAGTTCTTGATGTAACTCAAATTCGCCATCCTACCACAAAGCAGAAAAGAGTTTTGCCATTGAATACTCAGCTAACACTTCCACACAAGAAAAATATTGCCATTGGTTTGGGTAACTGATCGAATACCTACAGTAAGTCTAGTAAGGGAGATACAACCTGTCTCCACTGTGAGCTCTGCAGAGTATGTGCAGTTAGGATGAGGAAAACTACCTGCTGTTTCCCTGAAGCAGCCTGGCTTTCAGAAAGCTGATTATTATACAGTGAACTATGGGCTCCTATGGAAAGCAAGAACTGCAGTCAGCTTCCTGTTTAGGCACAGCCTTACTGCATGGTGAGCTGTGCAAAACATAAGCTCCCTGGGGCTCAGTTTCCCCATCTGTAAAGGGGAGGTGCTTCTGGAGGAAAGAGGAGAGGGCAAATATCCTGTTCAAATGATGTACAAATAGAAGTGGCTATCCTTGAGTTACACTGAAACTATAGAGTGTGTGGTGCTTTTTAAAAACATTTTAGGGCCGGGGATTTAGTTCAGTGGCCTAAGACCCTGCCTGGCAAGCTCGAGGTTGTAAGTTCGAACCCTGGTACAAAGAAAAAAAAAATTAACCAAAAAATGTTACCAATTAGGGATCTCTGTTTTCACCAGCAAATATAACAGGACTGAAAGAAGATCATCAGTACACATGGTCTCCAAGTTCACTGCAAGGGGAAAACATGCATTTGAAGTCATCAGGACAAGTGTACAAATTCCCTTTTGCCATCCAACCCACAAAACCACATTCTAGCAAGATAAGAAACAAAATTGCACAAGTGTCCTTACAACATCCTGAACAGCTGTCAGACTCAAGGGCAGTAACTCCAAGTGGATCAGGTCTTACCATCCTCTAAAAGGTTAAAGAGCCCAGGGAGACAGTGACAATAGACACACAGGAAGATATGCCCAGAGCCACCCCAAAAGCCTCTCTTCCTCAGGTCACCTCTGCTTTTTGCATGCAGAGTCTCATGTCCCTGTGTACCCTTGCTTGACCTTTTTCATTTTGTACTTGTAAGTAATCCACTCATAATTTAAAATTCTAGCCATACGGGAGTCAGGGCTATGGCTCAGGGGTAAAGCATTTGCCTAACATGAATGAGGGCCTACGTGTGATCCCCAGCACTGCAATAAACAAACAAACTCAGAGTGCAGAGACCAAGGGAAGAACGCTCCTCCTATCCGTGCCACTCAGCCTCTTCTCCCAGTCTCTGCTGCCATTTCCTTCCTGCCTTTGCAGAGCCAGCCTATGACTCTGCCTTCAAACGCATGGATGCAGAGCCATCCACACCTTCCCGGATGCTGCTGCAGCTGGACCACAGATGCTTTGTTTGCGTCACTCAGTGTGCTTAGAGACCATCCCCTATCTATATGCTTAGCCCTGTCTCCTCTTTTTAATTTTTTTTCTTAGCTTCTTTTGTTTTACTTCTACTTTTGTTTTCTTTTTAGTTTTTTTTATTTTTGTAGTGTTGGGGGTGTCAAACCCAGGGCCTTGCACATGCTAGGCAAGCCCCCTACCACGGAGTTACAGCCCCAGTAAAACCTCCCATTTTACTCTTTATACTGGGCAATTTCAAACATATACAGTACAAAATAAGAAGGAATAGCCTAAGAGTGAGTCCCACTGTACCCTTCACCAGCCTGGCTCATTTTTGAGCCCAGGCCTTCCCAGGCCCTTCCCCAAGCACCAACCTCGCTGGCTGGGAGACTGTGTAATAAGCTGAACCACCTTTCGCAAGCAGAGCAGCTTCTGCTGGGGCGAGCTGCATTTGTTCAGCTGAGCTAGCTCTCTCTTTGCACGAGGGATGTTGAAGCTGTAAAATAATTTGGAAATGTGACAACTTCAGATCCTAGCGGGGGCACCCTTTTTGCTCGTTCTGATAATATACCTCAGGTTATATTTTTCATACATCAAACCACAAGCAATGACAACAAAGACCGAGAAGTAATTTGACTCAGGTCACTGGCAGAACAGAATGGAGCTACACCAGAAGTTTGGAAATAAATAAAAATCCTGAGCCCTAGAGAAACGAGGAAAATAGCGCAACAGGGTGGGGGACTAAACATCAACACTGTACACATTTTTACAGCCCTGCGTGCTTCTATGGCAGGGTGTCCTCAGTGAGGCAGCTGAGGAGAGACTTTGTGCCAGCAGAGCCCATCTGGAGGCCAGGTGTATAAAATTCTGTGTCCTCTAGCTCCCAACCATCTGCCTTGCTGGCTGTAGGAAGGGACACCTACAAAACAGAGTCTGATCAATTTCAGCCCTTTTCACTCCTCAGCTCCTCAGGGGTAACGGTGTCAAGTGGCGGCCACCACTGCCACTGAGAGAGAGGCCAGCTTCTGAGGAGAAGATGGCGCCCCAACCTCCGAGGCAGCGCAAACCCTTACCTGAACTCAGGTTTCACACCAATGTCTTTCTGCTGGAGGTCTTGAAGGCTTCTTGTGATTTTGTTAAAGGCGGCATCCTAAAGATAGATTTTAACAAGACTTCAAGCTTCGTAAAAAGCACCAGAATAAGGCTTTTACCCTGCTTGATGGTGTTGACTGTGAACCTACCTCGCTTGCCTCCATGGTCCCCACATATTTAAAGATGAGATCATAGATATGGTGGTGGACGTACATCTGTGAAATGAAGGGACCCAGTTCAGACCTGTGTCCAGGAGGAGAACCACAGGGTGTGGCGTCCCTCTCCCTCCTTACCTCTACTGCCTGCTTCATCAGGGTCATCTGGGCCTCCTGCTTTGCAAGCACTTTCTAGAGGACAAGAAGAGTATGATTAAAGAGCCTGGACTCCCAGGCGAGCAAACTGCAGTCCCTCTTTTGGAAGCCCTGCTGCTTACCAGGTGAGAATCTCTCAAAAGCTGCTGGAGGCATTTGGTGTACAGGGCATTCACCGAGTCCTGTGCAACACAGAGCAGAAAGAGATCACTCTCACCATCGGAGGCGGCCAGAGACACAATGACCAGAATGTGCAACCTGTCCCAGAGCAAGGCAACCACGCCACAAACTGAACTGCAGGCGTCAGGGGGCAATGCAAACTTTATCAAATCATGATTCATGACTGATTCTTCAACCTTTTTAAAGGTGATTATGCATTAAAAGTAGGGAAAAAATTCTCAGGGGGTTAACGTAGGTGATAATGGTACTTTTTTTTTGGACTTTTCAGGATATTCAAGTTTTCCATTGTGGCTTATACTATTTTATAGTTAGAAACATTTAAACAAAACTTCCTATGGTGGAGATGTGCCTGGGAAAGTTGGAGAATGAACTGAGAGGGGCTGGAGGCTCTGAACGGCATGCCAGACGCAGCAAGACTCGGTACTGACTATGTGGTGACGGAGGCTCTTCCTTTCACATTCTCGGAATGTTCGGTGGAAAGAGGTGATGCTCCTGTCAAATTTCTCAGAGTGTCTTCCCAAAAATTCTCTCACATCTTCGATGGTTTTCAGGGAAAAGGGATCTGAGGGGGCTGAAGGTTCTTCTGAAAAAGACACAGAGGGTCAGGCCGGTTGAGGCCTTCACCGCCTCCCGAGAGGGGAAATGTTACATCCTTGGCCCTGCTCCCACAGGATCTAAGACCCCAGCCCGTGAGGAGGGTGGCAGGGGGCAACGAGGGGAGGGAAGCTCCTTTATTTCAAGATACTTCCCAAGAATAGCTCAAGTATAGGACAGTCTTGGATCCAAACAGCATGGTCTTCTCAAGGCCTTCTCTTGGGACAAAATCCACACTACTGGGGTTTTGTGGAATGAGTTGTGGGGCTCAGGTGAAGAAGCTCTGTTTCCTAACAATACAAGCTTCAGAGTTTATTTGACATTTTGGTGTCTCAATTTCCTGGGGCAATGGAAGAATTATTATTCTTTACAAATAGTGAGATCTCAAAGAGGCCCAATGGCCAGCCTAGGTGAGGAATAAAACTGAGCCCCTCAGACAAAGCCAGGGTCATTGCTCTGCACACTTGAGGAGAGGAGTGACGCTCATATCACACACTTACACAGGCACAGTAGGACGGTGCCTCCTGGAGCTGTGTCAATATCCAACCTGCACGACCACACACAGCAGCCCCAGTCCACACCCCTGAGTTGAGCGGATGCTCATTAGCTTCTGGGGGGATTCTAATAAATAGGTTTCTGAGGGGCTCTTCACCATTTTCTGTGACCTTTCATTTTTTTAACAGGCTACACTAGGAAGAAGTTCCCATGCATATGCACACACACACACTCCTCCACATCAGGAGAAAAGGGTTTTCTCCCCCAAATACCTGCACTTTCTCTCTTTTCCAAAGGATGGGCTATACACAAGATGCTGAAACTTTCTTCTTTCTCATTGTAGAAAGTTTCTTCAAAGAGGATGGGCACCGAGAGAAGACAGGCAAAACCAGCTCCTAGTTTAATCCTGTTTCCTTGTATTGACACATCCTGGAATGAGAAAGCTCTTACTGGACCAGCAGCTGGTGGCAACCACAGAGCCCCTTCTGAACTTGTCTCCAAGGATGGCATTCAACCAGACCCTGCCGCCTCACCCAGCATGGGTTTGCCAGAGCACTTAAACTACAGGTGAATGCAGCTGTGGGGAGCTGTGGCCAGCAGCTCTGCACGAAAACAGCATCAGCCTGCGCAGGCCGCCTGGTGACTCCATCCCTGCTCTCACCACCACAGCACCCACAAGCCTCTCAGGGTCACACCACCATGGCCCAGCCCCAGAAAGAAGGGTGGTGTGGCCTGGCTTCCCTGACGGTGTGCAGGTTGGCCAACAAAGCCGACCCTGACTGTGAGTGGAACTTCCCCTTCTCAGAACCTACCTTAGAACCTTCTATTTCTTCCATTCAATAAATTAAAAAACAAAACAAAACATATGATCCAAACTACTATCAACAGTGAGACAAACATGCCTCCTGACAGGATATACTCAGAAAGATAGAACACCCCTGCCACACCATCCCTACCAAAAAACGCCTGCCTGCTTGACCGTAATCTAATCATGAGGAAACATCAGACAAACCCACACTGAGGGGAAGTCTATAAAACAAAACAAAAATGTCAGTGTCAAGAGAGACAAAGAGATGCTGAGGAACTGCTTCAAATGAAAGTAAAAAGGATGTTAACAGCTAAATGCATTCCTTGATCCCAGATGTGAGGAGAAGACATTCCTTCGTGTTTTTTGGTATAAAGGGTATTATGATTAGCACAGTGTGTCTAAGGTCTGTGGGCTGGAGAACACCCACCCAGCACACAGGTCTGTGAAGGTAGAGGTCCCACAGTTAGGGAAGAGAATGGCTCCTCTCAGGAAACACACTCAACTGCTGCTTACTCTGGCCAGATTCAGGAAAACTCACAATAGATGCAGACAGCCAGCGAGATACGTCAAGTGTGGCAAAATCCAGGTGGCCAGTCTGCAGAAAGGGTTAGAGTTCCCTGTACTTTACTCAACCTTCTGTGGGTTCGAAATAATTTCAAAACAAAACGGTTTTAAAAAAACTCGCCCCTGGTGTCTAATTTTTGGCTGAGAAACCAAGGGGCTTTCCAGAGCAGGGAAGGAAGCTCTCACGCAGACACACACCTCACAGAGGGCAGGAGGGCGGTGAGGAGAGAGCCAGCCCTGCCTGGCCTCCAAGGCTACCCTGGGGGGGGGGTGTTATTTCCATCCCTCCTTCCTCCAGCCCTCCCACAGAGTTGCTGAATATCTCAACACTGTCATTTAATTCAGTGGAGGTAAAAGGCCAAGAAACAGGACTCTCTCCCCTGCCCCCAACACTGACCTAGTGACCCCAAGAAATTACCTTTCCATTTAAGGTCTGAAAATGTCCTTCCACGGGTATCAAAATGTAGGACTCGAACTGACAGGTAGATTGAACACTGCTGGACAGGCTTCCTTTGCAGGGCACTAAGATCTGGAAAAAACAAGGACAGGAAGAGCTCTGGAGAGAGGGGACACATATGGCTCCAGCACCAACGAGGTCTCCAAGCCACCCAGCTGGAAGCACAGCAGGACTGCAGGTAGAAATGGCCATGGCTGCTGCTAGCTAAATTCCTTCGCTGTGCTAGTAATGGAAGCAGACACCTCTCTCCCAGGAGAGAGAGCGTGCAGAGGGCAGAGGTCAGTTTCCATCTTTAGATTCAGAGACAGTGGGCTCTTACCACCCTCACTGAGTCCCTCCCCACAACTGACCCAGGGGCCCTCTGCTCCCCTTAGTCCACCTCCAAGACACAACAGGCTAGCGCAGAGAGGGACCTGTGGAATGGAGAGGATGGAATGTGAAATGAGGAAAGTCACACTGATCCCAACACCCGAAAGCTCAACCCTTCATGCTGAAGCCGGCTGCCGTGCAAGTTTGTAAGGGTGCATCAAGGGCCAGGCAGGCGATTTCCCATCATAGGCTGCTTCGTGAGCCATGTGTCTCAGAGTGCCACCCTCTTCCTCTGGCCACACACCTGTAATCCCAGTACTCGGTAGGCCTGAGGTAGGAGGACTGCCATCAGTTCAAAGCCAGCCTGCACTACAAAGTGAGTTCAAAGCCAGCCTGAACTGCATAGTGAGACCCTATTTCAAAAACAAAACATAACTCCCAGACTATAGGCACCACACTGATAAGATGTCACCTCAGCAGCACAATGCAGCAGTGGGAAGGGGCTCTCTTTCCTGGCCAGACCTGAGGTTAGCTTGGGAACTTATGTGTGGACAGAAATCTCTGACTCAAGTGTTCTGAAAAGGAAGATGGTCAAGCAGAAAAGCCACAGAGCCTAACTCCTACAGCAGCCCGGCAGAGAGACCAACAGGTGAACAGCCGGGTGCCACTCCTGTTCTATGCCTTCAGACCAGGACCCTGAGCACATGACCCATCCACGTTCCTCGGTGTCTGTGTGTGGCCAGAGGGGTTGGTGGGAGTGTAACGTGAGGCCACAGGGCACGTGCAGCCCAGTGGGGGCATCTCACCTGACCCTCAGCTGGTATTGCTCCTGTTATAATCCAAGCTTTTACAGTAGTGCACACATCCTGACGATCTAACTGATGCCTCTAAAGAATTGAGGGGCTGCAGAAGAAGAGGAATAAAAGCCACCAGCAATCAGTCCTGGCTAAGTTTGCTCCAACATGGCTGTCAGTTAAGGAGCTCAGGCAGAGAAATAAACCACCCTTGGACCACTTCCAAAGCTAACACTTACTGACCCAAGTATTAGAAAGTACTAAAAGTACTAAGTTTCAAGAGATGCTACAGAGCTGGGATATAGCTTGGCAGTACAAGCACCTGCCTGGCACACACAAAGTCCTAAGTTTGATTCCCAGTATGAAAAAGAGAGAGAGAGAGAGAGAAAGAGAGAGAGAGAGAGAGAGCGCAGATGCTATAGAAAATAGTGGAGTGTAAAAAAAAAAAAAAAACCTCCAGAGATCAGGCCTTCCTCTGAAACAATCATTGAGCTTGCACACTAAGGCATACAACAGTAAATAGAAATTCAACTCAAGAATAGAAAATTACAAGCTGTTAGAGGAAAGCCTATCAGAATCACAGCATATTTCTCAACACAAACCTTCAAGTCAAGAAGAGCTTGCAGCGAAGTATTTCAAGCCCTAAAAGAAAACAACTTCCAACCCAGATTGATGTACACCACAAAACTATCTCTCAAAATTGATGGAGAAATTAGAAACTTCCATGACAAAGAACACCTAAAGAAATCCATGAACATCAAACCAGCATTCCAAAATGTTTGAAGGACATTCTAGAAAGAGATAACAAGGACTAAAACTTCATGAATCCACCAGCCAAGACAAGCAATTAAAAAGAAGGGATAAAAAGGGAACCAACAAGAGGAAAATAACATCACAAGAGTAAGTTGATACATATCAGTTATTACCGTCAATGTTAACGATCTCAATTCATCAATCTAAAAAACCAGACTTGCCCGGTGTGGTGACACATGCCTGTAATCCCAGCACTCAGGAAGTGAAAGCAAAGTTCAAGGCCAGCCTGAGCTACTTGGCAAGACCCTGTCTCAATAAAAAAAAAAAAAAAAAAAAAAAAAACAATAAATAAGAAAAGAAAAGAAACAGGCTGGCAGAATGGATCCAGAAGCAAGGTCCAACCATATACTACATAAAAGAAACACATTTAATTCATTAAGTTTCAATAAAAACTCAGATTCAAAGACTTTGGAACTCCAGATTCTAACTTTACCCTTAGAGCAGGCCAAAAAGTGCCAAGTGAAGCAAGGTTGCTGATACCTGTCCTCAGCCCCTGCTGGGCCTCGAGGACAGCAGCCACACCCAGGAGGGGCAGTCTGGAACCAGGGCAGGCAGTTAAGGACCTTACCCTTCAAAATATCCCAAAAAGTAGAAACAGTACAGTACAATACAATACAGATACCTACAACCAAGCTTTAACAACTGTAAATGGTTTGCCGTAGTCCCACATTCTTTAAAGGTAAGGAGAGGTTTCCTTAGCAATGTCATCTAAACAGGCCTCTGTAATTTTGGGCTGAGGCTCCCATTTCCAGAGTGTCATGATATGCCAGGCATTGTACCGAATGGTGTATATGTTATGACTTCAATAAATGTATAGTTTCTATGTTATCCCCATTTTGTAGACAAGAAAAATGAGGCTCAAGAGTTAAGGTTTGTCTAGGGTCCCACAGTCAGGAAGTGTTAGAGCAGGATTCAAATTCCAGATGCCTTCTTGACTATTACCCTACCTGCTACTCACTTGGGGAGACTGGAAGCAAAACCCAGGACACCATTATTCCATTGAAGCCTTCAGAAATGCTGTCATCAGGTAGGGGACATTTTTTTTTAAGAAAAGGTCTTGCTAAGTTGCCCAGGCCAGGCTTGAACACATGCTTCTCCTGCTTCAGCCTCCTGAGCGCTGGGATTAGAGGCATGTGCCATCACACCCAGCTAGATAGGTAGGGGGACACATCAATCCCTGACAGCAAAATAAAAGCAAGCACTTGCTGAGAGGGAAGACAGGTTGGTTTGTGAAGTGGCCTTGCCCTCTCCTCAAAAAAATCAAAACTGAGTCAGATCAAGAACTGGACTTAATTACCAACTTCGGGAACATGGGGCCATGTCAAACACCATCATAGGGCTACAACTGGCAAAAGGTAGAAAGCCAGAAACTACAGCATAAATGACCTGGTTTCTCCTTAAATGAACTTCAAGAAAAGAAAGAAAAAAGAAGGAAGGGGAAGCTGTATCTAAAAGGGAAAAAGAAAGAAAGAAAAAAACCCAGCCTAGTTGGGCATTATGCTGGTGCCAGGCACCTGGCAAGTTGCTGGCAAGTTGTTTTTTTTTTGGTACTGAGAATTGAACTCAGGACCTTGCACTTGGGAGGCAGGCGCTGTGCCCCTGAGCTACGTCCCTGGTCCCCTAGGTGGGTATGTGGCTCATCTGTAACCCCAGCACTCTAGAAGGCTGAGGTACAAGGATCAAAAGTTCCTCCTGGGGAACTTGGTAACTTTGCAAGACCCTGTCTCAAAACAAAAAATACAAAGGATTGGGGATGTAGCTCAGTGCAGACCCCCTGGTCTCAATCCTCGGTACCACCAAAATAAATACAACCTCAAGACTACAGCCAGACTATATCGACAGCTTGACAAGTCTGTGAAGCATGTCAAGATTAATCAAATTTTACAGTGTGAACTTCATTTTAACATAAGAAAATGGTGATAAAATAGACTTAAAAGTCCTTTATATTTCTTTAATTGTGAATCTCCTCTAGGTCTTATTTGAACAAACCAACTATTAAACAAAAATAAGCTAGGAGATAATCTAGGAAATTTGAAATGACCAGATAGTTGACAATATTGAAGAATTACTGAGAAATTATTTCAGTTATGGTTATGGCATTATAGTTGTATGTTTTTAGAAGCCTTATCATTTAAAAATATCAGGGATAAGGCCAGGGATACAGCTCAGTGGCACAAGTGCCTGCCTGGCAAGCACAATGTGCCGAGTCAATTCCCAGTACCAAACAAACAAATAAACATATAACCCTAAAAATATTTACAGATGAAACCGTACATCTCCTTTACATAATTTTCTGGGATTTTCTTCCAAATAATCCAGGGGCTGATGCTGAATACAGATAAAACCTGCTTGGCCACTGCATTCCTTCTATTGAAGCTGATATGTGGAGCTCACTGTATTATTTTTCCTATTTTAACATATTAAAATATGTTTAAAATTAAACATGATAATCTGAAATTTTAGTAGAAAAATTAAAATAAACAGAGACTCCCAGTTATCTGCTTAGAAATAAGAAACAACCTCAAACAACCTCCAGGCTCTGAGGTAGCTTCAAAGTTACACAAAAAAATGCAGTTCACACGGAGCACAAAACAAAGAAGACCCAGGAGACAGGACAGTGGGGCCTAGCTAGGGACAGCACCCACGCCTCACTCAGAGGCTGAGAGATGACCCCATGCCAGCTGCCTGGAGGAAAGACCTGCACCATCCCACACCAGGGAGGGCCCCAATGGAAGCCTTCATCTGGCCTCCGCAAGACCAAGAACCTCCCAGATGCTCAGGGAACTCTGCCCCAGTTGCAGTTATAGCCTTGTTTAATAACGGCCACGCCTCTCCCACACCTTCCAACATCAACACAGCTTGTCCAGCCCCAGAGGCTTGTAGCCACGTACGCTGTGTGTCATGCGGTAGATGCCCATTCCATGTTTGGTGAGTGAATAGGGACCGTCCAATTTCAGGGACATCGCTCGCACCCCTCTCAACCCTCTCATCCCCACACCCAGTTTTCTAGCCAGGTGAAAAGCCGCTCAGTTTCTCCCATTCCAAGGGAGAGACCCCTGCTGGCCAGAGCGTCTCACTGCAAGCGTGGCCAATCACTTAGCCTCACCTCTGCTGTGAAGAAGCCCCCAGCAGCCAACTGCAGAGCCGCTATAGCTCTGGAGGTCCCTAGGGAGGTCAGGAGGCTCTCCTGGGAGGCAGCTGCAGAGCTTTCCTGGAAGTGTACAGTTACCATGCAGAGTGAGTGAGGGACCTGCTCATTTCGAAGCTTAACATAAATGTATTGTAGCCCCTTTATAGGGAACTGTTTAAATAACACTTGTTAAATGAAGTAAAGGAAAATAAAAAGAATGTGCACTAGTGATGCCTACCCTAGCATACTCTCCTAACTCCGTCCAGGCTGGGCCAAACACTCCAGAGCCGCCCATGATGACTTCTGTCCTATACTCATCCTTCCAGCCACATAGCCTGATTCTAGAATTCCCTGAAAGCCTCGCATGTTCTCCGTGCATGCATGTAAGCCTGAAACCCAAAGCAGAGTCTGAAACATGGCAAATGCTACGTTTTTTGGGTGACTCTATACTGAAAGAATCCTGAGACTTGGAACATGGGCCTTGGGACCCTGAGCTAGGGTGCAGCTTGAAAGTCAGTTCATATGCTGCAAGGTTCCCAGGCCAGCTCCCAAGCCCACTTAACCTATAACCAAAGGACGTCAATACAAAGATCAGACTTCATCTCTTTTTGTAAATTTATTTTTCTGTGTGTAAGTGGATCCTCCCCTGATATACCTGGGAAACCTAAAGGCCTTTCCCTTAGCAGCCCACAGGCAAGAGCCTCAGGGATGCAAGCCTGCCCCACTCACTGTGAGGAAGTGGCAGGTGCATAATTAGCCAGATGGTTATTAGAATAATGGAGGAGACAGAGGCCACTGCGATTAGAACCAGAAAAGCACAGAAGGGCTTTCACTGTGCAGTTAGAGACAGCAGGGGATGGCAGGAAGGTGACACTGCTCTCAAGGAAGAAATCCTGGGAGGAAGTCAACTGAGGAGCAGCTGGGGCAGAGTTGGGAAACATCAGGCTGCACCCTCAGCTGCCCCACACACGCAGCTGCAAATGAGCAGAAAACAGGGCGGCCCACCAGCACAGGGGCAGGGAGGGGAGTGGCACACTGATCCATCAGATGCACAGTGTTTTAGGACTCAGCAAGGACTCTGATCCCCAGGACAGAGTCTAAAGCGGACCTTCTTGTCCCATGGCCAACCTCCAAGGAAAGAAATGCCATCCTCACCTGCTGAGGCCACGCAGATCTTTATGCAGATCTTTCATGAAGTGAGAGGGGATCAGTGCCCTTCTGCAGATGATCAAAATGTTCTACTTTCTCAATCAGCCAGCAAACATAGCTGGAACACAACTGAGCGCTGGACAGGCAAGCACCAGCATCCCCATCACACAGATGGCAGGGTACAGGAGCAGGCTGTGGTCCTCTGACCACCCTCCCCATTAAAGGACTGCTTTGCATCTGGTAATCTTTCTCTGTGTCGCTACCACTGTCATTAGTATGTGTTTGCCCAAGAGGTGACTGTTTTATGCCCTAGGGTTTAAGCTCAAGGAAGGTAAAGATGAAAGTGTGAAGTGTGTTTCTATTTTTCTGCTCAACTCCCAGTAGCAAACATAGTGCCTTGCATATAGTGGCACCTAACACTCACTGTCAAATGAATACATGACCGTCAGTGTCTCTGGTGAGCTACGTGAGACTTTTATTTTCTTCTCAGGACACAGGTATATTTTTTAGTTGTTTTGTTCATTTATTTTTTGAGACAAGGTCTTCCTATTTGGTAGTTTAGGCTGGCCTTGAATTTACTATGTAGCCCAGGCTAGGCCTCAAACTCTTAGAAATCCTTCTGCCTCAGCCTCACAAATGCTGGAATTATTATAGACATGTGCCTATAATAATACCTGACTATCTTATTTATTTTTTTAACGAACTTTTTTTTTTTGTCTTTTTCCTTTTTATCGGTACCAGGGATCGAACTCACGACTGCCTGCATGCAAGGCAGGCGCTTATGCCGCTGAGCTAAATCCCCAACCCCACGAACTTTTTGAAACTTCTAAAATCCAAAGTAAAAAATTCTAGTAAAAGCGTATGAATCACAAAACTAAACATAAAAACCAGAAGTGACTTCAAGACACCAGGCTTCTGAGGGCAGAAGTAAGGGGAAAGTTGGTTCCGGTTTTCTAGAATCAGCCAAGAACCTGAGGCCAACTGGAGTGCAGCTAAATTCTCCCCAGACTCAAAACCCCAGACGGACACATACCTGAGCAGAGTCGTGCCACAGGCTAGAAGTGAACCACACTGTGGAATGATAAGGCACAACACAAAGAGGACAGACAGCATCTCAAGAGGAGGTCATAATGAAAAACACCCGGCTCTGTGTCCTAAAATTCCACCTACAGTTACTGTCACCAACTAAGGACCAGAAAGACTCACAACATGGGCCTGCCATTCCTCATAGAGCAGAGGCCTCGCTGACTAGTTTCTCCCACCTGCTTCTCCCACTCCTGCTGTCTCACTGGCCCAGAGGCGTTTAGGTTGTGGGCCATGTTAGAGAAGTTCTTGCCCTTTAGGAAACATCCTTCAAAACTATGCACAAATTCAAAGTTCCCTCCTTCTGCAGGAGTGGATGCCCAGCACACAAGTGAGGACGTGTGAGGCCCTGGAATAGTCTTCCTGGTCAAGAGAGAGCTATGAGGCAGAGATAAGCACAGGAGATTGCAATGCCATCTGGGGTACAACATACAGAGGACAGATGAGGGCTGAGAGTTCAAAGTTGGAAGCAGGTCAGGCAGTCTCCCAGGGCTCATTCATACATGGGTATGGGCGGGAGTCAAACCAAGCAGGCCGGCAACTGACTTCCTCTAAATGTCTTCTCAACGTCCCACATTTCTGATGTTAGCCACACCGAGCAACAACCCTCAGGATCAGTGTACTCACAATGCCGTGGATTTGGGCCACCTTGTTGCACAAGTCTGGACGCCACTTCTGCAGGGCCAGATAGAAAGGATTTTTCAGGAGATCTTCATCATACAGAGCCATATGGACTTCAAAGGGATGAGAGGGAGTTTCCTGGGACAAGGGAGGAAAAAAGCAATGAATGCCCACCTTCTGGTCATTTCTAACAAGCAATCTTGACACATACTATTTCATACAGTTAACGCTTCATCAGGAAAATTCATATTGTAATCTATAAATTCCCAGATGGCCTATTTATTGTTTAAATGTATAAACTATGGCCACATTTGTAATCCTAGCACCCTGGGTACCTGAGGCAGGAGGATCACAAATTCCAGCCTAGCTGAGCAACTTAGAGACTTAAAAAGACCCTCTCTTATGGTTTATATGTAGATATTCCCTAAAGCCTCAAGAGCTCTTAGGTGGGACCTTTGGAAATTGAATGGATTACAGGGACTATCACCAAACTGCTGTCAGGGGGTGGGGCCTGATCAGAAGAAGTGGGTGGCTGTGGACGTGATGGGAAAGATTATAGCTCTCTCCCTAATCCCTTCTTTGACTTCCTCTACTTCCTCAATGCAGAGGTGAATAGCTTGCCTCCACCCAGATCCTTCTTGCCTTGAAGCCAGTCAACTATGAACTAAAACTGTGAGCCAAAAATAAACATCTCCTCCTTTATGTTGTGGGTGTCGGGTATTACGTCCCAGTGACAAGGAAAAGTAACTAACTAGTTTCAATTTTCCATAAAAATGTACAAATTTGTATATGTATAAAATTTTTTTTAAATGTATAAATTGTATCCCAACAATCTTGCTAAATTCCAACTTGTGACAAAGCATAAATGGCTACTTTTTGCACATCTTTCATGACCATAATTATGACTTTATAAAGATACATATGCACACTTTTTTTTTAGTACCAGAAACTCAAGACCTCGTGCTTGCCAGGCAGGCACTGTGCCACTGAGCTACATCCCTGGCTCCGAGCTTTTTTTTTTTAAATGGGCTTTTGCTATTTTTGTCCAGGCTGGTCTGCAACTCCTGGGCTCAAGAGAATCTATGGCCAGAGTGGACAGGTACCTTCTATCCCATTCTCTTCTCCCCTTTCACAGGCAACCATTATCATAAAGCTGAGCTGTGTCTTCCTTCCCCGTTTTTCTATGCCTCTAACACTTATATATCCCAGAACAAAAAAAACTGTTTTTCTTGGGTTTCAACATTTACGTAAGTGGTTTACACTATTACTATCCTGGAACATACCCTTTGCAATCCACATTAAGTTTTTTTCCAGTTCTACTCACGCTAAGCCATAAAGCTCACAGTCAGGCACTGACTTGTGTTATACAATATTCTTGAAAGCAAATGTGTCGCAATTTATCTCATATCCTGTATTTAAGTTACTTCTACCCTTTCGTGTATTACACATAATGGTGCAATGAATACCTGTGCGGCCTTGTATTGGAACACACACGACAGACACCAAGGAGGGATTCACCTGTGACTGCAGCCATGGAACTGGAAGAGCATTCCCCTTCCTCAGGTTAAGGTCAGATCATAACCAACAACATGTCATCAAATCTGGATTGGTCTGTTTGCTTCCTCCTGCTGGGGAAGGAACCCAAGGCCTCACACCTGCTAGGCAAATCATCTACCACTGACTGACCTATTGCTGCACCCCCAGCCCTCTATCAGACTTTGTCAGTCAGTACCATGGTCTGAATGTTCATGCTTCCTCAAGTTTCATGTTAAAATCCAAAACAATTCTGCTTTCTAAAGGTGGTGATAGTGGAAGGTAGAATCTAGGGGTGTGACTGAGTTACTAGAGCTCAGTCCTCATGAATGGGGCAGTGCCCTTATAAAGAAGGCCTTAGCGAGCTCCTTGCTCTTTCTGCCAGAGAAGTTACAGAAAGAAAGGTACATAAAAAGAACTAAGATGTGTTACATACATGTATCAGCTGCCCATGATGAACATGGTCATTCTATACTGCAAGCATGTACACATAAACATAAAAAATGTTTAAATGTAAAAATTTCTCAACAGGAGTTACAAAGACAGTCATCGATGAAGTAATCAGCTGTACCTTGACCTCGTACTTTCCAACCTCCAGAATTATGAGAAATAAATTCATAAACAACAAGATGGAATTATGTTACAGCAGCCTGTAACTATAAAGCAACACTATTCTCCTCTAAAGTAATCAGAGAAAAGAAAATTAAAGTTAAACATCATTTCTTTATGTTGTATAAATTGCTTTTTGTCTTTTGCCTACTTTTCCCTTTAGCTGAACTTTTTCTTGTGATTCACAGTTTTCTAGAGTTTTTGTTATTATTGTTGCTGTTGTGTTTGCTTGTTTTTTGTGGTATTAGTGCTCCAACTATAAAAGAAGCTAATTCCTTAGCTTTTAAAAACAAACAAACAAGGTCTCCCTAGGCAGCTCAGACTCGCCTGAAACTCATGGTGATCCTCCTACCTCAGCCTCCCAAATTCTGGGATTACAGGTATACACTACCATGCCAGCTCCTATCTGGTTTTTGTTTTGTTTTTAAATATTGAGATTAAATCCTGAACAGGAATTGAACTTGCAAGCCTCTGGTCAGCTTCCTTCAGTGCTGTATTTATAAACATGCACCATATAGTTTTTTATATTTTTGATTACTAAACTATGTTACAAATATCTTCTCCTGGTCTATAACTTGTCTTTTCATTTCTACAATGAGTGTTTTCAGAAATACAATTTAAAAATTTTTTTAATGTAGCTGTGTTTTTTCAGCCTTTGCCTTTATGATCAGGGCTCTGGGGCTCTTAGGAAATGTATGCCTATCCTCTGACATGCTGCTTTGCAGAGTGATTTCATTATTTTCCCTACCTTTTGAGTCTGAGCCAGCACTGTGACCTCCTTTAGCCCACAGATAGAAAATGACACCCTGTGATAGTTCTGAGTGTCAGCCTCATAGATCTATTCTCATTATCTCCACACCCCAAAAGCAGCATGTGAAGAACAAAGTCATGTGATAAAAGACGGGGTGTGGGGTGTTAGATGGTCCAGGAACACAGTGAGCCTGCCAGCAGAAGGTACTCACATGAGTGAGTCCAGAAGACAGCAGAAGAGCCACCCAGCCAACCTACCCAACAGTGGAAAGTAATGAAACTGTGGCAGGTTTAAAGTACTAGCCTGAGCTGGTTTGTTATGCAGCAAGGCTATCTGAAACCATACCCAACTCCAAAGCCATAAATATATTTTATAAAAATAAAGCTCTAGCCAAGCATGGTGGTACATGCCTGTAATCCCAGCACTCAGGAGGCTAAGGCAGGAGGATCACTGAAAGTTCAAGACTAGCCGGGGCTACCAAGTGCCAGCCTGAACTGCATAGTGAGAGCCTCTCTCAAAAAGACAAAAAATTTAAAAAAAATAAAGCTCTAGACTGGGAATGTAGCTCAGAGGCACAGACCCTGCCTGGCAAGTGCAAGGTCCTGAGTTCAAATCCCGGTACCAAAATAAATAAATAAATAAATAAAGCTCTATAGTGTACAGGGGTCTTAAAAAATTTTTCATGGTTCAGCCTTCAATTTATCTGGACTATAACTTTGTATATGCTTTAATTGGGCATTTAATTTTATTTTTCAGTAAGGTAAACCAATTGTCCACCATCGTCATTTGAATGGTCCCGCCCTTCTGATAATGCTATCTTTGTCACATTCCCAGTTCCCAGATGTGTGGCCTGTTTCTGGGCTCACATCTGTTTCAATGGTCTAGCTCAGCACTGTCCAATGGAAGCAGGCGGCAAGTATATCTACATCACATGTAATTACATACATCTGTATATTGTATTTATTTTGCTTTGTCTTATCTTTGTTGTTTTTTGAGAATAGGATCTCACTCTGTTGCTAGGTTGGTCTGAAATTCCTAAGGTTAAAGGATTCACCTACCTCAGTCTCCCAAGTAGCTGGGATTACAGACAGACCCAAACCACTGTGCCTGGCACACACATGATCTCAAATTTCCCAACAGTTACATTAGAAACAAGTGAAATTAAATGTAATAACATATTTTATGTATCTTAATCTATCCAAAATATATTTTCAATGTGTAACCATTATTTTTTACATGACAGACGACATATTTTACATGCTACTTTATTACTACTAAGTCTTCAAAATCTGGTATATACAGTATTTTGCTTTTATAGCACTTCTCAACTTAGCTAAGCACATTTCAAGTGTTCAGTAGCCTCACATGAGTAGAGGCTACTGCATAGACAGAGCAGGGCCAGCCCACGTTTTATAGAGCTACACCTTTGCTATGCCATAGAGACTACTAACACCCGCCTGGAGGATTCTCACAAGGACATTCACATGCCACCCTCACTATATTTGACACACTGCAAATCAGTGTATTCCTAGTTACTGCTGGCTCACCTGGTGACCTTGTGAGAATTAGAAAAAGCACCTCATCTTCCCCGTGAATGCAGTCCTGTGCCAGGGCACATGGTACAGTAAGGAGCCCCAGAGAAATGAATAACCTCACAATTCCATGTAATGGTTTTGTTGTTAGCATTCTGACATTTTCCCTTAAACTTCCTTAGGACTTTAAACCTTAGAAACCTTAGGACTTTAAACAGAAAAACAGTATATTTTCCATAAAGAGAAGATCATCTTAAAATTACAAAAGCAACTGAGGTTATACACTTGCCTGTTGAAGGTTCTGAGCCTCAGCTTGAGCCTTTCTCTCCGTTAAATACAGAAAATTAGCAACTATCAAATAGCACTGGGCCAGGGATGTAACTTAGTGGCACAGCACCTGCCTGGCAATTGCAAGGTCCTGAGTTCGATTCCTGGCACCAAAATAAATAAATAAATAAATAAATAAACAGCACTACGCAAATTTACCTTTGATACAATCAGCTGAATGAAAAACTGAATTACTTTCTCACTATGTAACAATATACTCAGAATGCCTCCTTTGGTAAACACTAGGAAGTATGCATAAGTATATAATGAATTCTAAGTTTTACGGCTAATGATAAAAACAGCCAGTATTGAGGAACATCCTTGTTTTAGGCACTGTGGTAATGTCTATAAATCTCATTCCATTTTAATGCTCACAATAATGCCAAATATGCACCACTGGTCTCAAGTCACAGATGAAGAAACTGAGGTTCAGCTGGCTGACTCAAGGTTATAGGATGTCAAAATTTATTCTAAAACTCATCCCTTTAACCACTATGCTCACTATGTACAAAACAAACATCCCTGGAAAACGGTTACTTCTTGAGCCACAGGTGGACATCCATACTTTATGGCCCTGGATGGAAAATTCTACATGGTACACAGTCCCCATACCAAATTCCCTTTGTCCAGCCAGAACAGTCTCTACTGAGGATCTCTGGGTTCTGTCTGAAGGAGACCACTGAGTTCCCTGCAAATCCACTTAGGAAGAAGAGTCTAGCATAAAAATGGTTGCAAATAATCCCTGTCTAGGCCCAGGAAGCATTAGCTTTGCAACAGTTGAGGTATTTAAATTGCAAGATTCACCTATTACTATAGCCTAGATAATCTGTTTATGAGTCCCCCAAAGAGCCACAGATAATGCATTTTTGTCAGCATAGATTCACAAGAAAACATTGTTAATGGCATGTAGCAAAGTGCAACACTCAAGATGTTTTGGACTACAACCACATGAGAAATAAGAGGCACAATATGGTTAGATTAAAGCTGGGAAAGAACACTCCTGCTCCTCAGACACGACGCTGGCAGAGCTCCAAAGACTTCACTCCCATGACAGAGGTAACAAGGGCAGGTTTCCCAGATGGGAGAAAGCACCCAAGAGAGAGGGAAACAGCAGAGAAGGGGGAGGGACGGTGTGATGGAGGCCTGCCAGGCAGGGACAAGAGCAGGACCAAAGGGTCAGGAGGCAGGCTCCCTGCAGGCTCAGAAGAACCAAGTGGATTTTTTTAAAAAATTACAATCCAAGTAGAACCAGGCATGGTGGCACACATCTATACTCTCAGCACTCTTGCAGGCTGAGTTAGGAGAGTCACAAGTTGAAGCCAGCCTGGACAAATCCCTGTGTCTAATTTTAATAAAAATTGCTAGGTATAGCTCTGTGCAAAGGCCCTGGGTTCGATTCCCAGTAACACACACAAACATACACACACAGACATCTGAGCAGAGGACTAGAGGTATAGCTCAGAGACAGAATGTATGCTTTGCATACAAGAGGCCTTGGGTTCATTCCCCAGCAATACACACACACGCACACACGCACACACATGCACGCACACACATACGCACATGCACACGCACACATGAACCCAAGTTCAGCAAGGCAGAGAGGGGTACAGTAGCAAGGAAAGGCCTGAATACCACAATGCAACATTCCAGTCACATGCACAAAATGTGTAAACACACAATGTTCTTAGCAAGTACTGCTGCTGCTGAGACTCTTATGACCTGCTTTCTCTTGGTTGTCCCCATGATTGTCAATAACTAAACCCAGGAGCAGGAATTCAGAGAGCACTGCCCAGCACTATGCTCAACTCTTCTGTCCTAGAATGAACAATATGTAATAATATCATATAACCTGGTGCTTAACGTCACAGGTTAATTCATATGGATGGATAAGTGCTTAAAATAATTTAACACCCTGACAAGTTTGCTTGGATGAATTAGTTTTATATTTCAAAACAACATGCAAAGAAACTGCCTGTGGTGGTACATACCTATAATCCCAACACTCAGGAGGCTGAAGCAGGAAGAGCTTGAGTTTAAAACCAACCCAGGCTACCTGATGAATTCAAAGCCGGCTCAGACTACAAAGTAAGATCACACCTGCTGGGGACCACAAATTCACAATGGTTAATTTTGCACACTTCCTAAGGGAAACTGGAGGCTTTGGATTTTAAATATCACCCTTTTGAGATTTTCTATTATCCCTTTAGGGGTGGGTCATCCTCTCCCACATACTAAGACTAAAACCATTAGGACTAAAAACACTCTAGCAGGATCTTTCTTAGCACAAAACCACCTTGGCCCTCTGCAGTCATCCAGTAATCCCTTCCTCAAATTTCCTGCTCAATCAATAAATGCAAATTCTGGCTGCCCCATGGCCTTTTGTCTTGAGGGACAACTTGTCATCCTGGAGCCCGGCTGTACTGCCATTTTTCTCTTGCTCTTTCTTTCTGCAGTGTGCTATAACACTTGGCAAGAAATTGGAAGCTCACTGCAGGGGTCCCTGATACCCACTTCAATCAATTTTTAAAAGTTTTTTAAACTGATTTTTTCTTATAAAACTAGAAAATGAATTATCTTATAAAAACTCTTCTATGAACTCGGGGCTCAGTTGTAGAATGCTTGCCTAGCATGCAAGAGCCCCTGAGTTTCATCACTAGTACCACCATGTCAATCAATCACCTACAAGAGAAAGAAAAAAATAAAGAATCCCTCTGCCTGAGCTCAAATGATGGGATTACGTACAAAAAGTCCAGTGATTTAGTCAAAGATACCAAACACCCCTGCACAGTTATCTGAGGTTACTCTAGGAACAAGGGAGCTGTGTAATGCCTCCAATTAGGATGGCGTTTCAGGAGGCAGTGTGCTCACTCCTGGTTTGTGGTCTTCAACCGTCTGGCCACCCCGGAGAACTATGGGTAGTCAGGAGTCATCTGGTGACAGCATGCAGCCAGCTCAGCAGAAAGCAGCACAAGGAAGTCTGTGGCTCCCAGAGACGCACTCCTTGCCAAACTGTCTCCATTGTGGTTGCTTCTATCCTTTCAGAGCCTAACCAAAGACCTGAACCAGGCACACTTTTCAACTGATAAGCACTATTTTTCTGTTGGTTTGCAACTCAAAAAGAAATAGGAAAATGTTCTGTTCATCTAACTTTAATGCCAATGGAAGCAATATATGCTGTCATAGTCATTTGTGTCCTTCTGGTCTGTAACCTTTAGCCTGTCCATATTTATCTTAAAGCCTCTCAGTAAAGCATCGGCCCTGTATCTGGCTCACCATAGGCAAGCACTGTCATCCACTTGCACAAAATAATAGTACGGTTTTAAGAGGAAGCTCAACCTCCCAGGAGAGATTATCTCTCACAGGATCTGGAAATACATGTCTGGGTAGGTGAAGCATCAGACACAAAGGCAAACAGCCCAAAATAATAAGGGCACTCAGAGCTGGCTAAACACAATGACAGATGGAATGTGCAAGGTTAGAAAGGGAGAAAAGGCCCCAAGCCTGGAAGCAGCAGCGTGGGACCACAGAGGGAGCAGGGCAGTTTGGAGCAGCAAAAGCATCCCGCAGATTGCCACCCCACCACCTCGCTCCTTGGAGTTGTGGGTGGGACCACCATGTATCCATCTCTCTGCTAGTATCTTAGGCAGAAGGGCAGGAACTACAAGAGTCACTTGTTAATATCTCTCAGTTGTATATTCAATGGGACAAATCACGTCCAGATTCTTCTGAACTGAATTCTTTACAGGTCTAATGTCTATCACCACGTAGTCACATTCCTGTGTCTATGAGAGGACAATCCTTGGATACCAGCCTAATGCTGGCAACTGATAAACAGGGAGAGCCTCATCAGAGAAGATACCACAGAAACACTGAACAGAACACAGACTTAGCCGCTGCCCAGATGAGGACAACACAACCCAACAGTCACACAAAAGCAGCCAAGACCTTAACCCCAGACACTACTGCCTGCTCTGCCAGTAATATTTCCTGGCAGAATGCTTTCAGGTGACAAGTCAAAGCTGGGAGGGCACACCCTAAATACAAGTTAAGAATATAAATCTGTCCAATTTTAGGACTCCAACTACTTTCTTGTCACTAGGACTGATGAAAAGAATCTATTCCCGTCATACCCCATCACTCCTCCAAGGTCTAAGTACTCTACCTCCAGGATCTTACTCCCACCTGTCCTTCCAGATCAAAGTGATCCTTCCCACAGAGGGTCTCCTTGGCTCCTTAACTCTCAACTTCTACTTGGTGTTGAGGGCCTCTCACCTGTGATTTCTGTCTACTTTTGTAGTTTCCTCATCCCCAGCTGCCTCCAAAAGAATGAGTTCTGCTTCCTTTCATTCATTTTGTCCTGAAAAACCACTACTTCCCATGAAGTGGACTGCAGGTGGCTAAGACCTTCCTCTTCAGAGAAAGGCCAAGACCCAGACAGCCCAAGCTCCGCCTACAAATGGTCAGTTAAACTGGTTAAAGGACAGACCCCTAATGACAGTGAGTCCCAGGACCCAGCGCTGCAGACTTTCTTGGCCGCTTCAGTGCCAGGCCCCTCGTGAAGGATCTCAAAATGCTCATATTCTCTAGGGCCAGTCGGGTCCACTGCTTAATTATAACAGGACCTTCTCTCTGTGAAACCCATAAACTTAGAAAACTGCAGCTCACGTGCACCCTAATATTCCCTCTAGTCTTGCCACACCTCGTTCTCTGAATGTCCTAAACCCTTAGTGAAGCTGCCCCCAGCTTTGCTCTCACCGCCTAGCATAGTCTGAGGGTACCACGGTTCCCTGCTGCGCAAGAAGCAGCCAGAGGAGTACGCCCCTGCCCGTGCACAGTCCCTTTTTAACGAAGAAACTTAACAGGTTCAGAATCCCAAGCATCCCTTGGTGCTCAAGAGTTTTCAAGAAGTAGTCTTTACACCAGAGACAAGGAGACCCCGCCCGACAGAAGGCAGCCAAGGTGGGTTAGACAGGCATCCCCTGTCTGCCGCATCCTCTCGGAGGACCTCTGATCTGCATGCACAGCCAGGATCCCGCCACTGCAGGAGCCGGGAATCCGCGCTGGGGACTCCGCGCCGGAGGAATGGCTCCCTGCACACACACAAACACACATACTGCCCCCAAGACGGAGCTCCCTGACCCTTGACCCGTGGACTTGTCATGGAGTCGCCCGGGTCAAAGGGAGCATTCTTTCCGAGTCCCTCTGGACCCGAAGGCTCAGGAGTCACAGCGCGCTCAGCTGCGCAGAGTCCACCGGGCCAGCAAGGGGCCAGGGCCCAAGCAGCCCAGCCCCAGGCGCTGGTTCCAAGAGAAAGGCGCTCCTCCCCCGCCCGCTCCGGGGCTCCGTCCGGCCTCCGGGCCCAGACGTCCCGAGAAAAGGGAGGCGCGGGAGGAGACAGGCCGCAGCACTTACTTAAGAGCTACATACTTCCACTCCCCATCTCTGGGCTGCGGCAGCACCTCAAGAGCCCTCCACCCGGACCTCGGTGCCCACCGCACCAGCACCGTCGCTCAGCATTGCGGCCCACCCCTTTACCGTTGGGCGGAGCCGAGCTCGGGCCAGTCCAATAAGCGACTGCTCTTATCCAGAGTGACGTGCACACAGAGAAATCATAGAGTCGGCCCAACCGAGGGTGGGGCTCAGGCGACTCACTTCGCTTCCTACTCAAACTAGACCCGCCCAAAGCCACCGACTGCGCGTGCCCAGAATGGGAGGGGGCGGGGCCGAGGGCTGATCTGACACTAGGGGTGGGTTCCGAGCTCCCTGGCTGAAAGGGAGCTGGACAGCGGAGGGGAAGGAGAGCCCCAACCGGAAACTGCTGCTCCGCGGATCCCTCTTCCCCGCACTCTTTACTGGACCGAAGTGCTTGGCCCAATGAGACGCGCCACTCTGTTGCTACCATTTTTCCTAGGTTCTAGTCCTGTCTCACTTCCATGTACTCTAAGCGAGCTAAAACCTCTTTAGATACCAGGGTCTCAGTTTTCTTATTCGCGAAATAGGGAAAGGTTGTCGGGTGTATGGCACACACCAGTGATCACAGCACTAAGGGAGGCTGAGACAGGCGGATCACAAATTCCAGTCCTGCCTGGGCAATTCAACTACACCCTGTCTCAAGATAAAGAGGGCTGGGGATATAAAGCCCCGATATCCGCCCTCTCCCCAAAAAGGATAACTTGGCATCTGCTGAGTGCTAACGTTCCAAAACTATATGGAGTGCAGAGAAGGGAATAATAGCCTCACACGTGACCAAGCAGGGCCACGCCCACTCCAGGTCCCGGGGCATGTGAGCACCCAGCCAGACTGGCAGGGGTGGGCGGGTCCTTAGAAACCCGCCCCGGCTGCCCTTGTCAGCGGCTAAAGCAAGGAGCACGGCTGCTGGTTCTGGGGTTAGCACCACAGAAGGATGGGGCCCGCAGCCTGGGCTCAGCAGGGAGACACAGAGAAGGTTAGGGTCGCGCGGAGAGGTGGCGTGTGACCAAAGAGTGTCTGGAAAAATGGGCGAGCAGGTGAGCGGCAGCTAGAGCGACTCCCTCCCCGAGCCGGTCTTCCGTGGCGCACGTCGCGAATCCTTGGCTGGCTCGGTCGACGGCAGCTGCAACACTGAGTGAGTCGCCAGCCATGCAGAGCGTTGGGGACGCGCAAACCAACGCTGGCCTCAGCACCGGCAGTGTCCTGCCTCGCTGAGGTCGGAGGGGGCGCGGGAGCGCACTGCCATGGCCAGGGAGGAGAGCAAGGCGCTGCTGGACGCGCTCAACAAGACGACCGCGTGCTACCACCACTTGGTGCTGACGGTGGGCGGATCGGCGGACTCGCAAAACCTTCGGGGGGAACTGCAGAAGACGCGCCAAAAGGCACTGGAGCTGGCTGTGGCCGCCGGCGGCCGGCTGACGGTCGCGCTGCGCGACAAGGGTCTGGCCAGCGAGGAGCGCGCAGAGTTCGAGCGCCTTTGGGTGGCCTTTTCCGGCTGCCTGGACCTGCTGGAAGCCGACATGCAGCGCGCGTTGGCGCTGGGCGCCGCGTTCCCTCTGCACGCGCCCCGCCGGCCGCTGGTGCGCACGGGTGTGGCGGGCAGCTCCTCTGGGATAGCGGCTCGCGCCCTGAGCGCCCGCAGCCTGAGGCACGAGGCAGAAGGCGACTTCGACGTCGCAGATCTGCAGGAGTTGGAGCGAGAAGTCCTTCAGGTGGGCAAGATGATCAACGAAATGGAAATGAAAGTCAACGTGCCCCGCTGGACAGTGCAGGCCCGGCAGACGGCTGGCGCCGAACTCCTGTCCAGTGCCTGCGCCAGCGCCGTCTCGGCCGTGTCGCTATCTGAACGCGCGGGGCCCTGTGACCTGAGAAAGGCCCTGGCTGCAACGGTGTTCAGCGCGGTGCTGCTGGCGGCTGTGGCTCTAGCCTTGTGTGTAGCAAAGCTAAGCTGACCCACACCTGCTGGTCTTCATCACCGCCTCTCCCTCCGCGGAAACAAGACTCCGGATGGGCTTGAGTTCCAGGTTGTTAGAGGAGCGGCACTAAAACACTGTGTGTGTCGTGGGTACCCGCACATTTCATGCACACTCCCGCATACATAACACATGGCTTTTCTGTTGTTGGTCTGGGAGGAGTTAAATTTTCCCGGGCGGACAGAGCATTACAGCTAATGTTTGCAGGAGCTTTATTCTCTATTCATGGCAGATGGCCCACAATAACCCCAGATTTCGCTGTGTTACTGGGGCACCGTTACACGTAATCCTAATTTGTTGCCCCCAACCCTGCCAATGTCCTCCATTGTCTACATGTAACAGTTTGGGAAAGTGGGTGAGGTGGGAGGAAACCTGGAGGGCGCAGTGGTTTTGCTCTGTGTAGGTAGTTGTTCTGTTTCTTAGACAAGAAACAAATTGCAATAAGACATGAACAGTTTTTATTACCTTAATCCTGTGGGGCCTATGCTTAGAAGAGTGTGCAGCTAGAAGTTCATATAAAGTGCTTTCTGTGTGGTGCATTATTGTACTTCTTGGCAGAGTTTATCCACTAGTCACCAAAAGCAGCTACAGAGAGCTTTGAAGTTGGGAGATCTCCTATCACCATGTAGGGTCTGACCTTATTTAGGAAACCAAAGAAGACGGTTTAACGCTGTAGCAGGATTGTATCGGCTTCACACCCTTGGCCTGCAGAAAAGAGCCCTTCTTAGCCAGCCCAGGATGGGGGAAAGGAGTCAGGATGCTTTAGAGAGAACCACAAATAGGAATGGACGCTTTCTCCTTCACAGGGGCTTATTTTCATTCCACAACTAAACCAAAGTGTTTGATCCTCCTTTGAGGCAGGGCTGGAGAATCCTCTTTGGAGTATTTAATCCTGTCTATCCCCAGAATTTGCTTACTGGCCAATAGGAGAGATAGCTTTGAAGGGAGCTGTGTAGCTCCCTGACCCCTACTGTTCCCAAAGAGGGTAATGTGGCATTACTGGCCTACAGAGGTTTTGGCCAATCAGCTCTGAGACTGGGTTAGAATTTGTAACAGCTTTAACTTGGAATGTAAGAAGCTTTTTTTAGAAATCGGTAATCACCTGGAAGGAAAAAAAAATCACATCATGCACTGTCAAAGCCATTTTTTTTAAAATAAAGGACATTGGGCCACAAATTCATACGTGCCAATGAGTAAAACACAGAACTTAGGTTACTGAATATTCATCTGCATCTATTAAAATCTATATTCTTAAATATAGATTGAATATTGAGGTTGTAGCATAAACTGCTGGTGTGGATGACGGAAGTAAGTGGCCCTGACCAGTACATAAGGAAATGTGGAGAACACTTTTGGTCCCATTTGCCTGAGCAATGCTGCCCCCTTTTACTTGGAGTCCAGAGAGGGCTCTACCACATTCCTGAGGGAAGTGAGGCTGAGAAAATCGATGTACAAAACTTTCTAAAGATAATTCAGAACAAAAGAGACCTTAATTTGGCTGAAATTTGATGAAGGGCCTTTTTTCCTTTTGTACCCCAGAAGTGGGGAAGGGACCAGGTGGAGGGAACTGGCAGTTTTTCACAAGGGCATCTTGGAAAGCCAAGGGCCAGAATTAAATATTGTAGGGTTGCTGTCTGGGCACCCAGTCTTAAAGACCACTTTCTTTGCCCATTCCCTCTCTCCTTCAGCCTATAGATTCCTATTTGCATGTGTAAGGATCATGCTTTTTTAAAGGGGGTTTGGGTGTGGCTCACTGGTAAAATGCTTGCCTATTCTACAGAAGGCCCTCTTTTTGTAAAAAGGTAAATCAGATCTACAAGACTTTTGAAGCTGATCGGAGATTGTCTCAATACCAAAGGGATGGAGATGTAGCTCTGAGGGTTCAATTCCCTGAGCCACAAAAAAAGAAAGAAAGAGAGAGAGAAGGAAGGAAGGAAAGAAAGAAAGAAAGAAAAAGAAAGAAAGAAAGAAAGAAAAAGAAAAAACTTTGTTACAACATTTACTAATAAGGCGAGCTTCTTCTGCCTCACTATCTGGGTGAGTCTACATAAGGGCCACACTTGGTTTTCTTGCACTGCCTGCCCAGGATGTCTTTGGAGACAACACAGAAATACTTTAAACTTCACCTCCCACTCATGACGTGGAGTCTCTGATACCTTCTCCAAAGTCTCCTCTCTCATGCAAGAGAAAATGGGGCATTTATAACCCTGTGTTGAAAAATATCCCAAAAACCAAATCCCAGATATACTTCTAAAATTACAGTTTCTAGGATTTCAATCTTCTGTTCTTTTCAGGGTATTCTATTTATGAAAGAGTGATGTTCAGAACGGCCTATTTTTAAAAAACTCTCAGAAGGTAATCCACTGAGAACAAATGGGATAAATACATTTTCTTCTCGCTCTTTCCAGCTACTTGGCAGTTCCTAGAGTTTTAAATTTTACATGCAATCACATGTGTATCTGATTCTGAGGATTCTCTACCCAAGGAAATTAGTAAAAAAAATGTTGCAAAAAGAAAACGCTAATCACAGTAAACATACTCACTTGTGGACCTGTTACCCTACAAAAGTCTGAGTTTGAATATTTTAAGCATTAGGAATATTTGATATCCTTTGGAGTTATTATATCAACTGATAAAACTTCTATATGACACAAGCAAAATCACTTTCTGCCTTGTGCCATAAGCGGCTCTCTACCTAATATCCTTGCTTTCATTTCTATATATAATGCAAGAGATTGCTTTCTGATAGAAGCCTAATTCAATTTAGATGTTTGGTAGGGAAGTGATTGATTTTCCATGAATATTTGATATGGTCTTATACTGTGATATGGGCAATAGTAGAATATTTTAAATGCATTAGTTGACATTAAAAAGAAGTTGGCATGGCCAGGGACTTATTATAATATTTATAGCAGAAAAATACCTGGCTATTTTTTATATATTCTAAAAACCTATGTTTTTAAATGACACAAGGGAAAAACATTTTTGCTAAGTAAAAGATAAGAGCGTAAATGTCATGATTTGCCTACAGTTATACAGTATGTATAAAAGATGTGTGATATTTAATGACTAAAAAGGATGTGTGATGCTCTGATGAAAGAGACCAGTTTGCATGAGAACCCTGGTAATGCTGCTGCTCTTCTCCAGTGTTCACATTGATCCATTTTTAGCTACTTGGTCCTTTCTGAGATTGTGCTTCTGTGTTCTGTAGTGAATGCTTTGTAAGGGCGCAAGCCCCAGAGTGTGAGCCTGTGTGTCAGCCTGAGAAAAGAAGTGTTGTAGACTTCATCTCCAGTTCGTCTGAGGTATGCCTCTTTCCTCAGGGCTTAGCCAGCTGTGATGGGCAGGGAACTCTGCCTCTCTCCAGGTACCTCAACAAGACATTGACCTCCCTGTGCCTCAAATCCTTCATTTGTGAGTTGGGGTTCACAAATGACTGATTCACTCAAACATCCCTTTAGAGCTTAAAATGTTTAACGGAATGCAGTAAAGAAAGGATTATATGATTGATTGTTTGGCTTGGGGTTTGTTGCCTGTTAGCGTGGGTCCATACAGGAATGAAGTCTTACAGCTTAGTGATTATTGTCTAAAATTAATTTTTAAAGCATAACATTAAATTCTATATTAATTTTAAGAGAACTAACAAGTCTCACTTTGATTTTTTTTTTTTTTTGCACATCGGAATTAGTAAATGGACTTTAAAAAGCAAATGTGGGCTAGATGTAGTAGAACATTTCCATAATCTCAAAACTCAGGAGGCTGAGGCAGGAGGATCCTGAGTTCAAGCCCAATCTAATCTATCTCAAAAACCAATCACAACAACAAAAGCAAACGTGGGACTGGGGTTATAGCTTGTTGGTAGAGAACTAGCCTACCATGCTTAAGGGGCTGGCACCACAAAGAAAAAAATAGTAAATGTGTATATATGCTATTTATTTATAGTATTTAAATTAGATAAATAATTTAAATTCAGACTCTGAGTCCAAGTTATGTAAGTGGCCTGTGATGTGTGGTAATCAGGCTTCCTAAATGGATTCTGGGAAATTGTAGATAAAAATCCCCGTCACTTGTCACAAAGGCTGGAAGAATAATAGTATTCTGTAAGTTGGCTACCTCAAAACTGTAACTGCATTAGCTGCAGCAGTGGTTGCTTCTGTATGTGACATCAGAAATACAGTGGGATAAAAGGTTTCATGTCTACTCTTTGACATCTTATATTGACAGGTTATAGAATTTTTATTAACAAGTGAAAATTTGAAGATAATATGCAACATGTGTGACTTAGTGGGAAAAGGCACTCTCAAATGATTCAGTTATCAACTTGTAATGTTAAAATATTATCCTTAACTTTCCTCACATCTATTTGAATGAGTGAACATCCTGATCAACATATTTGTCCTTTATAGATTATATAACATGAAGAGATGTCCACAAAAACTCCCAGATCATAAAGCTCCAGGTCTGTTTCTACAATTTGATTACACTCAGCTTTTAATGCAGGAAGGAATCTAGGAGAAGTAGATCTCTGGTTGCAGTCATGACAAGCCAAAGTCATATTTCAAATACTATTTCTTCTGACTTTCAGAAACTGGCCAGGTGGAGAAGCTGTGGTCCTTTGTCTGTGAGGACAAAATACATTTCTCGTTTCTTTATTTTTCGTCTCATCCCATAGAGCAGTGGTGGCGAACCAAGGTACCCATGCCACAGCAAGCAAGCAGAGGCTGCTCTGTGATGACATCACAAGTTGAATGAGTTAGTTTTTTCCTAAATGAAAACCTCAGTATTCAAGTTTAATAGCAATGCTGGCACTTTGCAATAAATAAGTGGATTTGGGGTTGCAGCTTGGACACTTGCTCTCTACTAAAAGGTTCGCCATCACTGCCATAGAGGTCCCTGGTGTTTTCAGTTCAGTACTATGAAACGTTGGACATCCTCATTGTTTGGTGTTTTTGTTGAGAATTTGTAAATCATAGGACTGCGGACATATTATGTGATAGAATTCTGAATGGTAGAACTCTTGACTAGCATGCATGAATCCCTAGGTTTACTCCCCAGCACAGCAAAATGAAAACTTTAACACTTACATCACCAGTATATAAATAAACTAAGAGTGCTTCTGTTGTCAAATGTGTTTTTTTAAAGAGTCATTTTAATATTCTGGTGCTGGAAAGCAAAGTTGAGTGTCCCCTGCTTATATGTATGTGTTAGGTATGTGGAGAAGATTTATAAAGAAATATAGAGAAATGAAAATATTTGTTAAAGTGGTGGGATTATGAATGGTGTCTTTCAATATTTTAATTTCATGTTATATTGTTTTTACAATAAAATTTTGAATTATTTTATCATCTAGAAAATATTATTTAGTTATTAAAATTAAGGCAGGGGATGGTAGCAAATATATAATGCCAGTACTCTGGAATGCTGAAGCACAAGGATCACAATTTCAAACTCATCCTGGGAAATTTAGGAATTTAGTGAGGCCCTGTCTCAAACTGAAAAATAAAATTAAAAAAAAGTTCTAGAGATGCTAGAGATGTAACTCAGTGCGAAGGCACTAGGTTCAATCCCCAGTAGCACAAAAGTATATTTTATTTTATTTTTTTAAAGAATTATATTTTAGCAGTTTGAGTATCAAGTATAATTCCAGAACCTTCTCCCAAAAAGCAAAGCAAAATTCTTTAAAATATTACTCAAGAAATGAGAAGCATGTTTGACAATGTGCTACCACTGTTATTATTATTTAACATACTACATTAAAGGTCCTAAAAATTGAATGATAATGATGCAATTCATGACATAGTCAAGGACCACCATAGGGATAGGGAAACAGGCAGAATCCTGGGTCCTGATCTGCTGCTAATTAATAGCCTGATTTGCATTTTCTTCTTGGATGCTCAGGACTTAAATGCCATTTTTACAATGAACTGAGACAATAGCTAAGTTTCTCAACAAAGGCAGCATCTCCAAAATTGAGTCAAGAAGTCTAAAGTGAAGTCTAAAGTAAATTCTGCTAGATCACCAGTCTCCAGAGATCTTATAAAAACATCTGTCAGGTATCCTGCACAGTCATGGAACTCCTAGAACATGATCAGACAGGTTATTGACTCAAGGGCACATGAACCATTAACAGGAATGACATAAATACTGTATAGATTAGACCCCGACAAGTATGTAGTCTCCTATAGGGTAGAGATCATGTTGCAGACACAATGGCCCAACTTCCCTTGTAAACCCCTTAAAAACTCATAGCAAAAAAGCCTTCAGGACTCTCTCCCTGCTAGCAGGAATTCTACTTCCTTATCTTTATATCTTTTAAATAAATCTATTTACACTATGCCTCCTCCATTCATGATTTCATTCTTTGGCACTATGAACATGGCTCTGACATTCTGATATCATGTTTACTTTCCTACACTCTTCCACCTTTTGGCTTTCTGCTCAAGACAATATCAGGACCCCACTGGCCAATTAAAAATAATTTAGTACACACCAATCTTTAAGACTTGGAGAATAGATTTCATTGATACAGACTATATCAAAATCAATGCTTACAAGAGAAACATTTAATACAAGGTTTACAAATATGTAAGAATTTACAAGATTAGCTTATAGTGGCCGCCTACAGAGTTGAATGTGGAAGAGCTCTAAAGGTGTCTCTACACATTGGAGATCTGAAGAATCCAATTGAAGGCCTGGAGCTCACTGCAGTGTCCCATGCAAGTCTACATCAGGAGACTGAAGGGTCTGTGATGGAAGGCTGAAGATGATGTGCAAGGCAAAGGTTGGAACTCTTCCAAAGAACAGTGGTGAGCTGTCCCTTGTTTCCCTTTTATACCATTCAACTGACAAGCCACCTATAGGGCGGGTCTTTGGTCTTTAGTGCATCTTCTCAGCCGCATTCAGAACATGCTAATCCAATTTAATTGGGTGTTTCTTACTCAAGTTGATACAATTAACTATCTCACGGGCTGAACTGATTGAACAAAAAGTATCAACCCAGACTCACCTTAGTTTTCCTTGTCAGTTGATCCTTCTGCTGATGAGGGAGCAGGTGGATTACCATGAGTTCAAGGCCAGCCTAAACAGCATAGTGAGTTCAAGCCCAGTTTAACTACATAGTAAGACCCTGTCTCAAAAACAAACAAACAAATAATATGTAGATTCTTTTTTACTCCCTCGCTCAGCTCATCAAGAAAAGCAGTCATAATAGAGAAAGGAAGGCTGTTTCCTGTAACATTTGTGGCAAGTTAAAGGCAAGATAAATCTAAGGACTGGTGGGTGTGGAGAGCCTAGAGCACCAAGGGCAGAGATTGCTCCCTCACCAGCAGAAGCATCAGATTGGAAAGAAAAATTGAGATGAATCTGAGTTGACAATTTTTTTCCTGCTATAGACCTCTGGACTTAAAGCAAAATGCTCTACAATAAGGAGTTAGGAAGGCAACAATTTATTACACTAATAGACTGATGGGAATCTGTTCCAAATCACCAGCCCCAAGTCAGTTTAGAATTTGGTTTAGATTCATTTGCAAACAGGAAGTACAAGGCTGATAGCAAGTTATTACGTGATTGGTGACATCAATTAAGTCATATGTTGTCAGGCAGGCTCATTCTAAATAGATTTGCTTAAAAAGAAATTGTTTGCCATAAAACAGGAACATCCTGGGAAAGAGGGAGAAGGTTTTGAGCAGAGAAGATAGAGTTAAATGCATCCTGCACTGGGCCAGTCTGTTACAGACATGAAATGTTTGAAACAAGTTGTAAAAACTACATATATTCTAGGTAGGAAAACACAGACATTATAGCTGGGTGAAATCAGGTTGAGTTAGCGCATTATGTAGGAGAAGCAGCTGGACACAGACAGTCAAGGCTAACCAGGCTTCGCAGGTTATGTGACAGGCAGCATGAGCATAGTCACAGACCACTAATTGATTTTTAACTCCTGCTATAAAATGTGTATAAGTTTGCTATTCTTTAACTTTGTCCTTACAATCCAATCACTTTCCAAAGGTCTCACCTATGATCTCATGGGACGCTTAGGGAAAAGACTCATGCACATCTTTTTATGCAAATTACATTTAGTTTATATCTAAGATTCAACAAAATCCTAATAGCCCCAGCATTGCTGAAAAGTCGAAGTTCACAGTCTTTTCTGAGATTTAGGGCTAAGTCTTAGCTGTGAGCCCCAGTAAAAATGCAAAAGAAGTTTAACACTGGCAGCGTACAATGGCAGAGGACAAACACGCTCATTTCAAAAGGTAGGAATAGGGAAATAGAAAGGAACACAACTAAAGTAAGACAAAAACGCAGAAGAAAGAACAGCAAAATAGCTCCATGTCCACCACTCAGGGCAGGTTGTGGCAAAATTTGAATTCCAAAGAGCTTGAGAACCTGACCCTATGGCATTGCCAGTGGTTGTAACCTTCATGGCTTCTATCTCAGGTGGATTTGCTCACTGCTTGCATATTTTCTCAGCTGTTCCACATTCCTGGCTTCTCTACCTTCCTTGGTTCACCACTGTACTTTCAAGTTCACTTCCTCAGTCCTTTTAGGGCCTACTTGCCTAGTCTCCAAGGCCTTCTTGAAATGTGGAGGGAAGCTTCCATCCCCCTGCATCTCTTGTGTTCTGCTTGCCTGTAAAACTGGCACCAGACAGATGATGTCAAAGCCTGCTGCCTGCTCAAATTGTAGCCTAGAATTTTGCATTATGGCCACAGATGCCTCTGCATGCCCAGGTTGCTGAGCACCATAAACAGAATTCCAGGAATACACATTTCTATGCTTGGCATAGTGCCAAGGAGTTCTCTATTAAAACAGTCTTTCACTTTTGCTTTAACAAGAAAGGGTGGGATGTGTCCTATCATCTTGTTGTAAAGAACCTAGCTTCTTTAATGCTAATCTTTTCAGCAACCAGACTCTCCCCTTATTCAACTTTATAGGCCTGAACCTTGCTGGAGTTTCCTTTCTGGTGGAACTCAAAACTTGAAATCACTCAGTTGTGCTGTTTGCTCTTGGTTCTCAATATAGAGCTAGGTTCTTTATTCTCATTGTAGAGCTGGCTAAAAGCCACCAACAGTACCCATACTACAGCCTGAATATTGTGTTGCCTTGAAATTTCCTCTGCCAGATTAATTATTCTGCCGCCTTTAATCTCACTTTCCCACAAAGTTTCTGAACCTGAGCAAACCATAGATAAATTTTCTGCCACAACATAACACACATGATCTGGAGTCCATCTACCAGAGGAATCCTTCTTCCTCTTCCCAAATGGAACCTCCTGAGCCTGGTCTTTTCCATTTGCTTTTTTAAAAAATGTCAGCATTCTGATCTTCTGAGCTCTGACTAGACTCTCCCCTATCAAGTTCACCTTGCAGCATTCTATGGCTGCTTTTCTAGGCAATATCTCCAAAACTTTCCAAACTCCTCCTGTGGACCAGTTCTAGGAGCTTTTGAACCACATTGTCAGATAGCATCACAGAAACAACCTCATTTCTATGGTACCAAAAATAGGTCTTAATTACATCTCTATTCCTGGGACAAAAACTTGACACCCAGAACTAATGAAGGAGAGATTTTTTTTTTGGTCCACATTTCAGTTCATAGTTGATTGCCTCCGATACAGGATGGTGTGGCAGACTGACATGACATAGGAGAGGTGTTCATAACACGGTGGACAGGAAGCAGAGCATAATAATAAGGGAGGTGGCAAGAAGGAAAGTTTAACCTTCTAGGTGACTCCCACAGTGACTTCCCTCTTCCAACCAGGCCCTACCTCCAACAGCTAGTCAGCTATAATGCTCCCATAATCCAATCACCTCCTCAAGGTCCTCAAGGTGATTGTGGGAGGTTTTAGTGGGACATCTGCATATAAACCATAACAGCAGCTTAAGCCAACTTAGCCGTGATAATTGTCTCCAAGCTGAGATCATCTCTTCATGGCTAGTAGCCCTGAAAACTACATTCTCTTCCTTTTTTAAATTGAAAAACCTGACAAATAATGAATGACAGCAGTGAGTTTTAACTTGTTGCATTTGAGATTGAAATAAAGTCCACATGGAGCTAGGCAATCAGCAAAGTGATCTGTTCACAAAGTTTACTTTTCCCCTGTTCAGCATTATGCATATTCTAATAAATCAAGTGAGATCATTTCTTATTATGAAGATAGCCAGGAAAGATCATTAAAATAGAAAAATAAAGAGTCAAGTGTTTTAAGCCATGAAGTTTTAAGCAATGGTAGAACAGTTATCCACTCTCTTGTGACTCAGTAGCACATGGTCATTAGTAGTGCTGATAAGGAATGCTGGTGCTGTGCCATCCCACTGGGCAAACAGGAAGAGGAACTCAG